TCATTTGCTCCATTAATTATTAATGGTGAGCTGTGAGGAGCTTCGTGCATGCAAGGACTGGAAATCCTCCTTTAATCAGCCAGATTAGAGTATGTTTGGGTTGGGTTGTTTTTAATTTTTAAGATTGATCTTCCACATTCATATAAAGTAGTATTTGCTTACCAATCAATGAAGAAGTATAAATACGATCAAGCTTTGGTTTAATTTGGCCATTTTTTCCTTTTTTCCCCTTGTAAGTGTGGGGAGTCATGTGTTTCTGTGACAACATAGCCTCCATTATGCTTGCGATGTATGATCCAACTTTCTTGGGCATAATTTCTTTAAAAACAGTTCTTTTCAAAACTAAATTTGGACCCAACATGACCTGCAAGATACTTATGAATAATTATTTTACCACTTTTTGATACATAATTATAATGCCTTATAACTACTTGTTCCATATATAAGCCCCCCCCCCCGAATATAAGCCCCCCCAAATATAAGTCCCCCGAATATATTAGCCCTGTAGCCCACTACGTTACTCAACATTGACATTGTCTTAATATAGCAGAAAACTGTTTTTGAACAGATGACAATATTTAAAAACATTGTCATTGTCTTTATAGCCCAATATGTGAATCAAAGCGCGTTATTAATACATGTTTATTTTCCTTTTATATCTGACTTGTTTATTACTAACACAAAAGATCGTCCATGTATAAGCCCCCCTCCCGTATATAAATGTCGCGAATGTTTTTTGTTGTTTATTTAAAGCTTGATACTATAAAACATGCATAAACTCTCACATATTAAATCTCGTCTATATTTGTTTTATCGTTCCCACGTGGTTGTTTTTATCCACCGGTATATTCCGAGTCCTGTCCGATTCACTTCCGACGAATTCTAACATAAAAACCCGACACTCTCCCCCTATTTGACTCATGCATTTGAGGCAAATATAAACATAATTAGAAGTTAATTGTCCTACACTAAGGTTCAAGGTTCAAGTGTTCTCACAGGCTTCGTTCAATTTCTTTACTCAACTGTACTCTCTTCGTTCAACATATCTTTAATCCGTTTGTTTGCTGTCACAGCTGCAGCTCTTTTGGGTGTGAACTCTCTTGCTTGAGGATTTAAACTCTCCGCTTGCTCTTCTTGTCCCTTCGTAATGTCGCAGCTTAACGCCATGGGGCATAATTGTTGAATCGCTCGTTCAATATACGATTTCCCAGCTCTCAATCTGGCTGCACGAATTACTCCATCTCTTCCCTTGATCAGCTTCACCACGATTCCAATATTCCATTTCCCACGATTTCTCTGGTCACTTCGAATTAGAACTACGTCCTACTTTCAGCGATAAACTTTTGCTTTTGTGTTTCAGGTTATGTCTTTCTCTTAGACTTCTCACATACTCGTTGGTCCAACGTGACCACAATAAGTCCTTACAACGACGTAAGTATCTGGCTCTCTTTCGTAAGTCGGTTTCTTCAATAGAATCAACATCTGCTTCAGGTAGGAGATTTGACTGACCATACATGAGGTTCGGTGTCAAAACTGGGAGTTGAACATCGTCCTCAACATACGATAAGGGACGGTTGTTAACAGCAATCTCCACATCGAGTAAAACTTCCTCCAATTCATCAAAATCCAGAATAGCTCGACCAATCGACTTGTAAAGAGCTTGTTTAACGATTCCCACTAAGCGTGCGAATTGTCCACCCAATCTTGTAACTTCTCGTCCTTCATCAACGCATTCAACCACTTTGCGGCGGCTACAAAACTTTTCCCATTATTTGAGTATATGGTGGAAGGTCTTCCCCGTCTTGCAATGAATCGCTTCAAACAGCGTATAAACCCATCTGTAGTCTGGTCTGTCAGCAGCTCGAGGTGGATCGCTCTTGATAAGCTGCAGGCAAAGAGCAAAATGTAAGACTTGCCTTCTCTCTTCTTGGAAACTTTATAGACTATAGGACCCGCGTAATCAACGCCAATCACTTCGAACGGTGAGGAGCCTTCGGTATGCTCAACAGGTAGGTTTCCGGTGGGAGGGTTGTGGAAGGCTGTTGTGTGAAACTTCTTGCATCCAAAACAACGAGTATTGACACTTTGTGCAAGCTGTCGCAGGCGTGGTATCCAGTAATCGCAGCGAACGAGTGCCATGGTAAGGCCGACTCCTCCATGGAGAGTCAATTCATGAGCATCTTGCACAATCTTTTCCGATAAGACGTCTTTAGGTGGTAAGTACACAGGGTAACTCCCTTCGATGCGACCTCTACACTCGTAGATTCCATCATGATTTCTTTGTAGGTTAAGGGCAAGCTCATCATCGTGAAACTTCTCCATCTTTCTGTCTCTCTTGGACTCTTCGGATCCACCACTTCACTTGTTGCTCTGTTTCTTCGGTCATCAGGGGGCCAAGAATTCGCAAATGTTTTAGAATCTTGCAGTTGTGGAGAAATCTCGCTATCCAGGCGTTAATACGGATTGTCTTCCAGTAAGGATGCTTGATTAACAGTGCATCAAGGTTATCTTCCGTTTCTATCGCTGTCGCAAGGATTTCTTTGATCTTCTTGGCTTCAGCTTCCGAATCTTGACTACAATCCTGGTCAAAAATTCTTGGCGCACTTAGTCGAAATAGCATAACCTTTACTTCATTTATGGCTACCATATACATACTTGCGCATTTTATGCAAAATTTCATGTCCAAACACCCCCTATCCCCCTTATCAATGTTGTGTAACACCTTGGACGTATAACACACTACACACAACATTGAACGGGGGAAGGGGGGTTGCTATGCTTGTTATTGATGTGGGAGTCAAATTTCGCACAGTCAGTGTCAAGTGCGCCAATGTTTTTGACCAGGATTGTCCGAATATAAAAATGAAACTAAAATTTATGTACATACATAATTTTGACGCAGAGGTGTTTTCTACGTATATTGGGTTGGGTGTTCTAGATGATTTCAAAGGGAGTTATTGAAAACCTAGCGTGCGCGTCGTAATGTTGATAATTATGACGTCATATGTGTGTGTGTGTGGGGTTGGTTTTACTATGAATCATGATAATCCTGTGTATATAAAATGAGGCTGGCTACAAAATAAAATTGAATAATATGCATTTCGATAATTAGATTCATTTAAGGAAGATTTACAGAGAAAACACAGCAAAGACATGGGCTTTTGTACTTTATTATAGAAAGGAATCGGGTTTTTCCAATAGGAAGATCGCGAGAAAATGTCATATAAGCCCTTTATCAGTAGCAAGAATATAGAAGGAAGACCAACAACCAGCTGCGCTGAGATCTAAACCGTTAAAAGGCAACAACTTAAGGGTCGCCCAAGAAAAGTTGACGAGCGATCGTAATTGTCGCTATAGTTTATGTGAAAGGTGTGGTTCTCAAAGTTCCCTATGAGAAAATGAATGGCAATTTCTTTGCAGAGTTCATTGGAAAGCATATTAATACTTGTTTTGCAAAGTGCGGACGTAAAAAAACGATTGTCGCCTGTTTCTCATGGATAATGACCCATCACAAATGAGTAAAGTAGTGCGAAAAGCAATGGACAAAATCGAGGCTGAATTTCACGAGATTCCGGCTAGATCGCCTGACCTGAATCCGATTGAAAATCTCTTTCACTTGGTAAAGAAAAGTCTCGAGAATGAAGCAATTGAAAATAATATAACGTAAGAAACGTTCCAAGACTTTTCTGCGCGGGTTTTAAAATCCTTGGAAAATCTGTCAACTGATGTAATCTATCGTACTATTTCAAGCCCGTCAAGTGGAGTAGATGCTGTTCTTAAAGCAAGAGGAAATCGCATAAAATACTAGGAGTTCTATCTTTTCCTGTTATATATAGTAATTCAAGGCAGAATAAGGGCAGTATAGATCAAAATAGGTGTAGCCATTCTCTCAAATAGGCAATTAGCTTGCTGTCAACAAGTAGATTAACTGCTAAGTACAATTACACATCTTCACAGCGTGACTCCAATGGTGCAGCAACGCAAAATTACAAACAGTGTTCCCTTGATATTTCCTAATCATTTGCCAAGGATGCAAAAATTTTTGTTTTCGAATACACATTACCTGAATAAATGCATTTATTCATTTTAAAATCTTATTTAGGTCATTATTGCTAAATTAAGATCAGTGCTCCACAAACCTAGCTTAAATTCCTTGACTATCTCTCGGAATTCTTTAGGAAAATGGGAGCATTGTTCAAAATCGTGCAAGATATAGTTATAATTTATTTATTTCAAAGCAAATAAGTTGACCATTAAATATCATTATCAAATATCGTTATATTATTTGCAGATATTAAAATTTAATAGATTTTTACAATGAATTTTTTGATGGAGTAATGTGTGGACCTATGTCTATGACTTTGTGTTTTGCATATCTGGGCGTGAAACATTATAGGTTGTAATTAACTGCTTATTACGTCAATGACTAATGCGATTTAATTATAACTTGTTATCTAAAACAAACTTAATAGCAAAGCAATGTCAACATGGTATTCAGTTGTGAAATGTAACTTCTGAAATATATACAAGACCACAAATTACGGCTTAAATATTTGTTTCCATCTTATTATATTTTTCAAAGTGTGCACACGCCCACAATGTTGTTAGATTAAGTACAATTAAAGTGAAAATACAAAAAGAGGATACATGTATCAAATAGTGTACTTTAATATGTCATTATTATTATATTATATTATTATTATATTATAAATGTTTATCATTTATTTAGACGCACGTTATTAATACGCAAAACATTATTAAAGGTTCACTAACGATTCAAGGATTAAGGCCAATATATTTTGATGAAATAAAAATAAAATTGTAAGATAATGCACATTCAGACAATCCTGGTCAAAAATTCTTGGCGCACTTAGTCGAAATAGCATAGCCTTTACTTCATTTATGGCTACCATATACATACTTGCCCATTTTATGCAAAATTTCATGTCCAAACACATCCTCCTTATCAATGTTGTGTAACACCTTGGACGTATAACACACTACACACAACATTGAACGGGGGAAGGGTGGTTGCTATGCTTGTTATTGATGTGGGAGTCAAATTTCGCACAGTCAGTGTCAAGTGTGCCAATGTTTTTGACCAGGATTGTAGGCTCAGTCATCACAGAGGCAGGCCACTGGTCGGGATCAGCAAGCCAAACAGGTCTGTTCAGCCATTCACCAGTTAAACGATTTACTTCACATCCTCTACTCCCTCGATCAGCTGGGTTATGGTCAGTACCAACATGTCGCCATACAATGAAACCTTTCTCGTTGATTTTCCTCACCCCGAATCTAACCATCCAAATACTGCTCTCACTGGATACCCCGAGAATGCAGTTCGTACATTGCCCACTAAATTCGTGGCCATATGCCCGGATACCAGTTCCAGCCTTGGGATTGTAAGATTCATGACGGAACACTTGTTCCCACCTATTCCTGTAAATGGTGTTTTGAGAGTATCGGGCTATTGAAATATGTTTGGCTTCCCTGCCTTCCATCGCATTGAGCGCAAGGCCCATGCCATATTTTTTCTTCATTTCCTTCATGTGGAGTGGAACAATATGGGCTAAATGCCACACGGTTGGGTGGTGAGAGAAGAAAAGGCAATTAAGTGTAAATAATGTCCTACAATGACTCTCAAGCTCAACCAGGTCTGTGTCTGTGATTTCAATACGACTAAACAAAGAGACACAATTTCGCAAAGTGAGACAAAAAAAAGCAAGCACATGAATTGTAAAGTGCCTCTTAGTGCCTGGTTGTGTTGACGGCTCCACAACCCCTATGAGATACATAAAATTATGTAAAAATCCCCTGGATTCTTTACCAGTAAATCTGTAGTCAAAATTCTTTCCTTCGGCTTGTGTCTCGTTGAACCACTTTATAATTTTTTTGGCAAGTCTAGAAAGGCAGCATTTGGTTTTCATTACACCTATATACCTGACAATCGGAGAACTAGATGGAATCTCAGAAAAATTTTTGATGGCTTTTGGGAGGCTAGAAATGGCAATAACCTCATCTAGAAGGTAGCGATGAGCAAGGGCACAAGCATTATTCTTTAAGTGTAGTGGTTCAATGTGAATTCGATCAACAATGGGACCTAACAGGGGAATAAACTCTTGCCGGCTTTTCAGTTTTGCAATTAATGATGTGATCTTAGATCTTTTAGTGCGATCTGCCGATTTCTCCTTCGAAAGTGTTTTCTTTAAGCCCTCTACCTTCTTAACAACAGTTAGTCTGGATGAATACTCCCAAGGATGCCAGGTGTTATTTTCCTTTACCCCAAAAGTCCCCTTGACTTCATTTGCACTATCATTACTAACGTCTGCAAATGAGGAGAAATGTTTAGCACTATTGCTTAACTCCCCACTTAGAAAGGCTATCATTTTCATGTCATTTGGGAGTTCAGCTACGCAAAATTTAACATTAACAGTTACCTCACCCTCGGGCCCATCATACAAACACGGGAATACACTTTGCTCAATATGTTGAATATCGGCCAAAAGCAGTTTAATATACCTCTGCATTGGAATACAATTTTCAGAGCAGTTTGCCCCAAAGAGTAAATAGTTTTCTTTACTGCTCAAAACTCCACGTCCTATATTCAAGAATCCTACCAACCAGGCAGTTGCTGTATCGTCTTTCCCACATGGTGCCCCGTCCCCTCCTAAGGTTATTAAAAAGGTATATTTTTCCCCGAACCAGGTTAGGGTATAACCACTTTTGCCAGACAAGTAAAACTCTGCAAGACGTAGGAGCAGCTCCTTCAAGCTACGATAACAACCGCATACTTTATCATCTTCATCAAGATCATCACAAAGCGTATCGTAAACACTGTAAATATTACCTACATTTACCGATTTAATAAATGGCATGAGCTTGTCATATGGTACAAGCCTTGGCATGGGGCATTCATGGATGGAAAGACGGACACAACCCTTACTGCTATTACTTGTCTTATAACAACTATTTCGGTATATTTTTCGATATTTCTTTTTACCAGCTATGCCTCCACAATAATAGACACTAACGCTTCTGATCATATTCTCTTCTGAAGACTCGTATGCTTTTAAATTTCCTTTGTATATAGACGGCATAACATGCTTGGTGAATTTTTTGTTGGCAGACATTACATCGACTAATACATTTGATTTCAGAACCATCCTCAGAGATAGGAAAACTAGTTTCATATTAATCTGACACTGCAATCGAGCAACGAAAAATTTGTTGGCTCGAGCGGGATTTGAACTCGCATCTTCGGGTATCTAGACCGCCGCTCTACCTATTGAGCTATCGAGTACCCGAAGATGCGAGTTCAAATCCCGCTCGAGCCAACGAATTTTTCGTTGCTCGATTGCAGTGTCAGATTAATATGAAACTAGTTTTCCTATCTCTGAGGATGGTTCTGAAATAGAATTGAAACACTGCGCGTCCTCAAAGACAAGCGTTAAGTTGTCACAAAAATATTTCGTGCACTTAAATTGGATAAGACTCGCTACCAATCCCTGTTGACTCGATAGCTCAATACGTAGAGCGGCGGTCTAGATACCCGAAGATGCGAGTTCAAATCCCGCTCGAGCCAACGAATTTTTCGTTGCTCGATTGCAGTGTCAGATTAATATGAAACTAATACATTTGAACTACATTTGTTTAAGGCAGTATCTACTAAACCTACAGCTCCTGGTACTGAACTTTCCCTGCTACCTCCATGGATTTCCTGGGCAACCATAAAGGTTTCCTTCCTTCTCATCCTTGCATATTAGGTGTTGTTAGTGTAATTTTACCATTCTCAAAACCAGTGGGATTGTCCTTTCTACTCTGCAGTGCCTTTTCAGACAATTGACTAGCTCGACTCTTTTTATCAGGTTGTCTCAGCTCTTGCTTAATATCTTCAAGGTCTTCTATCTGACTAACTATGTTCTCTACCTATCACAAACAACAGTTTAGACTAAGGAAATATTTTGATAAGTACTGTATATACTATAAGTTAATTTCTACATAGTACACACTTTTAAATTAAGGTTTGAAAATGCCAATAACAGGGGCACGTTTTATTCTTACTATGACTTAATTTACATGTGAAAATTACTATCATACCTTTGCATCGAGATTTCTAAGCTTTTCGTTCATTGAATGCAATTGTTTTCTTTTCTTAGCCAGCATGATTTCACGTTCTACAATTTCCGTTTCGATCTGTATAATTTGGCTACTGCTTTGTACCTTTTGCTCCAGTTTTTTCTCTTCCATCTGCTTTCTCTTTTCTCCTGTATTCGCCAATATTAAATCGTGGCATATTGAGGCCGTGTAACCATAGGTCCTTTATCAAATCGTGCGAATAACCAAGATTCCAAATCGAAATCCACCAAACAAAAAACAACACCTTATACATGAAAGTTCACGTTATTCACAACAGGTAAAGTTCCTTTCAAACAGACAGTGGTGTCCAAAATAAAACAAGGGTGAAAATCCCATCTCTACAATCCAAAGTGACAACAACAAAACTTTGCAATGTTTACTCGCTCACGATGCAAAAACAGATTTGTAAACCTATACACATTTGGTGTCAAAACGAAGCTCTAGTCAAGCTATGTTAAATACATGTAACCGATTTCAAGACGTCTTTAACCGATCGCTGTACAACGACGCGGAAAAGTAGCTCGGTCGACTATCGTAATTTCATACTCAGGTTCAATTATTGATATTCGGCAACATGGCGGAACATGCACGAACACACGTGGATTTTTCCCGCATTTTATGGCCGGCGTGTATGATGTAATAATCTAATATTAGTGCTAGGGGAGCCCCATAAATACAAGTGCGAGATGTTAATTTCGGACACAAAGGAAGGCAGTAAGACACAAGGACGAAAACGAACAGAATATATATTCAGTATTGGAGACACACATGTGAACCAATAAGAAAATGCCAATTAGAAGTGTCCGTGCGACTACGACATCTTCATCAAGATAAAGGGAAGAAAATTTGTGAGCTGCTAAAGATGAAACAGTTTTCTTCTTACTCTAAATCAAATGTATGCTTACATGCTAAATTACCCATACGTTCCCCACAGAAAGATCTGCGAGATAATAACAAAGGCCGACCATGTCTGCTGACAGAGAGAGACAAGCGCAGCATTGTTAGACCTATTGGTTCATTACATGAAACAGAAGGATCATTTGCTGTAGAGATTGGAGGCAGGTATCGACAAGAAAATTTCAGATTGCACTGTGCGACGTTGTCTAAACGAAGTTGGATAGAAGTGTCTACAATCTCATCGTAAAGGTCTAATGTCTCGCAATGACATAAAAACTTGTCTCCGATACGCACGCAAAGTAAAGCGACTGTTGCCAAATGACTTTTGGACCAAGGGCATTAGCTTTTATTTGGACGGAACATCATTTGCGCATAAGAGCAACCCATGTGACCAAGCGAAAAGCAGACTATCAATGGTATGGCAAAAAAAGTGTGAAGGCCTGAAGCTAGGATGTACATCCAAAGGGAATAAAGCAGGTATTGGTAGTAGGATGGCACATTTTATTGTTGCTATTGCATACAGGAAAGGCGTAATGCTATGCGAGCAATATGAGGAGCGGTTCCCTGGAAAGTATTATGCAGAATTTGTTTGAAAATACTTTCCACATGCCTTTACGAACAAAATTATTAATTTATAAATTATTCCTTCAAGATGGTGACCCAAGACAAAACTCTGTTGCGGCGAAGCGGGCCCTTGATGATGTCAATGCGAAACTATTTTCGATCCCGCCTAGAAGTCCTGACATTAACCCTATTGAGAACTTATTTCACTTAATCCAATCCAAGCTGGACAGAGATGTGCTGGCCCGAAATATAACAAAGGAAACATTTGAATGGTTTTCTGAGCGTGTCAAGGAAACCATGGAGAACTACCCAGTAGACACAATCGATAAAATCATCGATTGTATAGATGGAAGAATGACTGAAATCATCAAATGAAATGGGCAGAGATTGAAATATTAAAGGCAATTGAAGTGCAAATTCGTACTACAGATGAGAAAAATTAGATCGAACTGTTAAACTGACTGTATGGAACAAGTTGTATCAAAAAGTTTAATTGCATTTCCGTTATTTGTTTTAATCATTAGATCATAAACTAGTTAATTATTAACTTACTAGTTATACTATGTTAACTGGTAAGTTATCCGCTTCTAACCACCTTAACACGAAAAGGACCACACGTAACAACACGTAACAATAGATGTAACAAACATTTTCTATTGGATTAAGGAATTTTACACACATAACAACAGGTAACAAAAAATTTTTAAAAATAATATAATATTATTTAAAAAAATATTTGTCACATGTTGTTATGTGTTATATCAACGATAATGACAAATAATCACTTGTTACCTGACATTGTTGTTACGTGCATTTAAATCAACAAACTCTAGGGAAAAGTCTTAAGAATTCAAAGTTCTCCCATCAGAACCAGTGTTGAAAAACATTTCCAACAGCAGGGCACCTTCTTTTGTTGAGACTGTGGTATTGAAACTGGAATAGCTTCCATCTGAATGACATAATTTCGTTTTCAATATCATCGGTGGTGTTGAACTTGCCGATGTACTTTATTTCTGCTTTACCTGTCGCAAAAATTGGGGCGTCTCTGTCTATACAAATATCGCGGGCATAGATATTCTTAGGTGTCGGCAAGTGGACAGTTTGTCCTTCAAGCAGAAGCAACAATTCCTTCCACACGATTGAGTCAGGGCTCCAGCAAAAATCATTTAAGAATATAGCTTCTGCATTCTCAATGTCCAGCCAAGAATATTTGTTGTCAGCTGGGTTGGAAAAAGTTATGAATATTTTTTGCAATGCAGTCAAGATGAAGCCAGTTTCACGCAATCTGCCGGGCCGGGGATGAATATGTTTCTGTGCTTCCCCCTACTGTTAACTAAAAGGATCACACACGGCTTCTGCAAGCCATTCTTTCGAAGCACTTGCAATGCACATTCTAACCATTCCCACCACAAGCATCCACACATTCGGCTGCTGCTGCTTTATGGATCGTGTCCATGCGTGGGGTGTTGCGTCAAGCTAAATACGCCTTAGCATCTTGCATTTTCCATGTAGTTGCATTTAAATCCTGCAGCGATTTTGGTGAGCAACTGACCAAAAAGTTATAAAGATTTTCCTTACCAGCTTCTTGTTGCTCGGTTGCTATGATAAACAGTTCAGTTTCAGTCGTAATGTTGTTTTTGACCAAAAACTTTATACATCTAAGTTGAAAATTGCCGTACTTTGCTCAGACTTGCGTTTTGTTGCCGTTTATTTTATCCGAAACATTTAGTTGATTTTCTGTAATGCATTTCTTTGCAAGAGGAGATCCAATCTCTTGCAAGTCAGGATGGTCCACACTCTTGTAGACATGAGGGTCGTTTTTGCATATATATATATATGTAGGCTGAATAGTAGTTTTTGTGCGATTCCGAGAAGTTCACTTGGATGCCAAACTTTTTGTGGAGTCGCTTCTTTACAGGATTCCAGCGCTTTGGACCGGAAAGTCTCACACTAGCATAATAGTAGTAGCTCAATGTATTTTTGTGCCCTTCTAGGCAAATGCCCAGTACTCAGCGATGACTTTTCCTGTTGCATTGAAACATGATATCAGTGCATCACAAAACTTTTTCGTCTTGGAAATTTGATTAGGTCAGCTTTGCTGTATGTTACAAGGTCAATAATTGCCTTCTATTTGTATATGATTTTGGTATTTGAAAATCTTTGCTATCAGATCCACTCATTTTGTTACATTTCTAAGGCTAAACAAGATATAAGCGTTATTTATATATATTTATATATCTTATGCATGGCGACATTGTTATTCTGTACTGAAAAATACATACGATTTAATAACCATCTATGCACATTATAATATTTACGTGTGTAAAATTGACAGAAAATGGCACATATTCATATAATTTTACATCAAAATCAGTTCTTTTTCCTTTATTTCCTGGCTTTCTATACAAAAATATTCAAATTTTCCCACTTATTTTTTATAAGAATTGCGCATGCGCATAACTCAAAATCCAATATGGCTGCCACGGAAGTTTGTTAGCCTAATTTCATATGGTTACTAAAGCTGTTTCTATCCACGAAAAGATTACTTCAATTGGACAAATTATACTATTGTTATGGGAACTTGTTTCAATTTTCAAATCTAGACAATCCTGTGCAAAAATGTTTGGAAAATGCATTTTTTCTTAGTTTCTCAGTGATATGTGAACTGTTCTTCCCCCTTTAACTATTCATTTTCTCCTGAAGAATAAGTCTTTCGCTTAATTAATACCTTTACCTAATTTGCATATTGCTGACATATGCAAATTAGGCAAATGCATTAATTAAGCATGCAAAAGGCTGATTTTTAGGAAAAAATGTAAGTTTGCATGAATAGTTAAAAGGGGGGGGGGCTTAAACTGAAACAAATTGTCAGAACATTTGGTGCACCAATTAACCACCCAACACATTTTCACCCATTAACCCAAAATACGATTAAAGCTTTTAAATCTTGTGCGCAAGCCATTTTTAGTTTGTTGGAAAAGACACTTATATTCTGGGTGAGCTTATATTCTGTGGGGGAGCTTATATATTCAGGGGGGCTTATATTCAGGGGAGGGCTTATATTCAAGGGATGGCTTATATTTGGAAAGGTGGGAGCTTTAGTAAATGTGGTGGGCTTATATGTGGTACCCTCTGAGGAGAGCCTTATTTTCTTTCATTTCCTCCCTGGGGGTGGAGAGAAAATAAGACTGCCGTATTCACAGGGTAATATTCAGGGGTTTGCGGTATTTAGGACATGACCCACACCCTACTTAAAAGTAGGTTATCCATCCCATGAGTACACTGTATATGGGGGTCATTGCAAGGACAGGCATCTAAAATGTGAGTGGCTACAGTACTACACCACTTTAATATGCATTATTATACACTCACACACACTAACCAATCACAAGTGTTTATTAGGGTCACGTGTCAGCCCAACATTATACAATATTGGACAGGAACATATTGGACAGTTGCGAATCGTGGCTTTTTTCCATGGTTTTTCAACCCTTTTCAGACCTTTGTCAATTTCAAACATTCAACAAGCAATTTGGCAGTTTTTCTCCCAGTTTTGTTCAAATTATAAAAGCGTGGGAAAACTTGTCTTCGTGAAGTACATTTGTTCGCAACAGCCTCAAGTTAGTAATATTTAAGATTAAAATCTCATTTTTTTCATGAAAATTAGGTCAAATTTGGAATCGAGTTTATTTATGCATACATTTGTAAAAAGCAAATTCGCTGCCGATAAATGTAGTAATGTTATCGCTGTGTTATTTCTCACTGTATTACTTTATCGATTATTGACAATTTTTTGTTATAGAATTGTTTTGTTCGTTATTATAATAAAACTCTTATTGGATTCATCTTCACCCAATATGGCAAAATATTAGGTTGAGACTTCAATATTGGGCAAGACTGAAGGTTGAGCCTAATATTGAAGTTGAGACTTAATATTTTGCCATATTTGGTGAAAATGAATCCAATAAGAGTTTTATTATATTGAACAAATAATATATCGAACAAAGAATCCAATAAGATATAATATGTGGTGCTTCGATATTATGATTTAAGAAGTTTAGAGTATCTGTTTTGCTTCAAGAGGAGCAGAAAATGGCTGCTAAAAATACCTTTTGTAGTACTTGTATCTGAATTTGTCTTTGGAACATTTATAACTTTAATTTTGTCTTTATCTTGAAGATCTTCAGGCTGAACATCAATGCATGCATCTCACTCTGTCAAATTTTTGAAATACTATTTCTTCACAACTTTTAATACCAAATTCTTGTCTAAGTTATGAAAATATTCTATGGCATATTACATTGAAATATTCTATGAAATGTTCTAAAGGATTTTGGAACCTATTCTATGGGACATTCAGTTGAATTCTTATCATTTATAGACCCGGAGTGGGGGGGATTCGGCGTACTATTTCCCGAAGTGATGATATTTTCCGAGGGGCTTTGCCCCAAGGAAAATATCATCACTGAGGGAAATATCGCCAAATCCCCCGAGCGGAGGGTATATAAATGATATATTATACCAAAAGTTAAAGAACTCACCATTAAAGTTCAGAATAAACTTTAAAACTTTTAATCTCTTATGTATACCTGAGTTATTGACATTCCTCTTTAGAATATTTGAGCATGTATCCTTTGGATCATTATTTGAGCATGTATCCATTGGATAATCATGTGTGTATTATTTTTTACCAATGGCAGTGTGCTGGTTTAATTACCCAGTCATAATATTAATTACACAATGGCTAAACAAAAACATAACTATTGGTTACTCCAGCGAAAATACAATACACCCATGACAATGAACCGTCCATTTTTTTGCATAAACCAAGACAAAAACATAGGTCTATTACGTCTGTATAGAGTTCCTTAACCTTCTTATTCCATTGACTACAATTACATTGATTGACAGCTGCCTAAAGGAATTGCTACTTCCAGGAAAATTGAAGTCAACATAACTTTTTATTGAATACAAATGGTAATAACTGTTAGGTAGAATAATAATAGCTAATCTATATTATCGTAAATGTTTACATGAGAAGCTTAAGCTGGTTTTCCACTTCAACCGTATCGTAGCGTAGCATTTTCTTTTGTGTTGAAGTCATTAGTTCCACTCTAGTGGAATGGGGTTTATGAGGTTTTGCAAGCTTAAATATTTCCACTAATTTGCTAAGTTCAATATTGTTGGCTAGATCTTGTCCATTGCATTAGTTAACATATCTCCCTCACATCTCAGCAGCAGGACCAAACTTAACTAATCATTCGAAGAATCCTCCTTGCCAAGGGGCCTTAGGAGTATTGAATGATCACTCAATCCGTTTGATCTCCATATGATGTAGTTAGACGTCGGGAAGTTGAAATAAAGCCTTTAATCTTCAGGACGCAGTTACAAACGTCTGGCGTTATCGGAAATCATTCTCTTGGGAAGTCCTCTCCTCGCACAGAATCGTCGAAAACAATAGGAAAGATTCACTGGTCATGTCCAAAACGAGTTCCAAATTGAGAGCTCTCGTGACAGCACATGTATAAAGGGCGATCCAGGTCTTGTTTGTGTCTTGCTCTTCTTTGATTCTTTGACATACAGCAGCCCAGCAAAGTCAACTCCAGTCAAGGCAAAGGGTGCTTGTCGTTGTGTTAGAAATTCTGGCTAAGCAGGGGAGGCAGGTAGGGAATAGGGTTTACACTCGTGTTTCTTGCAAACCATGCACCTGTGAATTAACTTCCTTACAAACTGTCTGCCACAAATTATCCAAAACCTCGAGCGTAGTTCTGTAAGTGTCTCTTTAACACCGTTGTGAAACGCACAATTGTGGGATTCCTTAACACTTAACTCGGTTAATCTATTCTTTGCGTTCAATAGAATTGGATTTTGGTTTCGTCAGGAATGTTCACTTTCGAAATTCTTCCCTTGCACTTGATGATTCCATTCTTATCCCAGAATAATCCATTCCATTCTTATCCCAGAATAATCCAAACTGTTTTTTCCACATTTCAAACGAAGGGTGATTTGGAAGATCTAATTGGATTTGTTTAAACCATAAAATTTCTGCGATTTCAGCTTCAGAGTTCTTATTCTCTTTGACTCTTAAATGGGCTTTCTTCACTCGTAGAATAAATCGTAAAACCATTGATGTAACAGTAATAAGCTTCTGGTAACTGCTAAACCTTTGTACGTCAATAATGCTCTGGATCTGGTAACTTGTTTCGGTGCATATGAGTAAACAAGTGTTCTGAAATGCGTTTTGATCATTGGCTTTCATTTCTGTAATACATTCTTCAGGAATACAAAAGATAATAAAAAATACATTCAAAAAAACATTCATAAATAAAAAAAATACATTAAAAAAAAATTCATTCAAAAATACATTCATTCATTTAATACATTCTTCATTATTCTTCCCCTCAACTCCCCTCGCTTTCGATATCCTTGAGCATCCATTGAGGACCATTTAACCAGGTTTGAAGTGTGCCTGAATCAGTGGAGGTTGCTCCTCTAGAAGCAATGTCCGCAGGATTTATGTTGCCGGGGCAATGTCTCCATCACTTCAATGGTACCAATTCTCTTATCTCAACGACATGATTTTGAATGAACTGTTTCCATTCTTGGGTTTCACCAATTATCCAGTACAGTCCAACAGGTTGATCATCAAGCTTTAGGGTTTCGTTCACAGCCCTTGTAATGGTTGAAATAAGTCTTGCTAGTATGACTGCTAAAAGAAGTTCTAATCTTGGAATGGTTTGTTTGTTAATTGGAGAGACTCTTGTTTTGGCAATAACAAATCTTATAAACGTTCCCAGTGAGGTAGTCATTTTCAGATAAACAACAGCTCCATAGGCTTTAAGGGATGCGTCACAAAATCCTTGGAGGCTTTAAGAAAGAACCTTTTCTTCGATTCCTGCTTGATAACATCTCGGTATCAGGGTCGATTCTATATTTTCCAGGTCTTGGATAAGATGCTCCCACTTCTTCTTTAGTTCGCTTGATAATTCTTTGTCCCACTCAACTTTAGATTGGCATAGCTCCTGAAAGAACATCTTTAATTTGACTGTTTTGGGTGCGAGAACTCCCAAGGGGTCGTAGAAACGGGATATTATGATACCAATGACATGGTTCACCAGTTTCTCGTACTACATCTGAAAAGATGCTCAAGAAAAAATTATTTACATGGGAATATGAATATCTGTAACGGACAGTGGTAAAAAGGGTTGTTTTGAAAAACAGGGTTGTTAAGTACTATCCAATTCATTATTACTGTTATGCAAGTTTGATACATTGTTTGGAAAAGACAGATGTGAAGAATGGAGAGAAAGAGGACATTTGGAATCCGAACAAATGACAGATATGTTCGATGGTCAGCTTTGGAATGACTTTCAAATATATAACGGTAACGGTAAATGTTATTAGTGGTTGGCATCATTCCTGCAATGGGGAAGGAACCAAAGAATCTTAATTCTTTTCTAGAGCCCCTCGTCGAAGAATCGAAAGCACTGTGGAAAGGAGTTCGATTAGTATCAAGTCTGAGCACAATACCACTTGTATTTAAAGTAGCATTGTTGTGCACTTCCTCAGATATACCAGCATCAAGAAAGCTCTGTGGGTTTAAAGGCCATCGTGCAGAATTGGGATGCTCACGCTGTCTCAAAAAGTTTCCAGGTAGTTTTGGTGAAAAGTGGAATTATCAGGATTTGATGAAGAAAATTGGCAAAAGCGTAAGAATAACGAGCACAGACGTCAGGCAAGCAGGATATCACAATGTAAGACAAAGAAAGATGGTGAGAAGTTGTCAAGAAACTATGGCATCAACTACTACAGCGAACTGTTAAAACTAGAGTATTTTGATGTCATAAGGTTCTGTTCTATAGACCCAATGCACAATCTTTTTTTGGGTACCGCAAAACATATTTTTAAACACTGGGTAGCAGAGGGAATTCTGGACAAGAAAGACCTTCAGGCACTAGAAAGCAGGATAGAAGGATTGGAGGTGCCTGTTGATATCGGAAGATTGCCCAAGGTAATTTCGTCAAATTACGGTTCGTACACTGCAGAACAATGGAAGAATTGGACGTTGGTATATTCCTTGTATGCATTGAAAAACGTTATACCGAGACAGCATTTTCAATGCTGGCAGTCATATGTACTGGCATGTCAATATTTGTGCAAACCCATTCTGACCAATGATATCATACGCTCACATTTCTTGCTATTGAAGTTCGGTAGAGAATGCCAAAATCTATATGATAACTTTTGTATGCCGAATATGCACTTGCACTGCCATTTGAAAGATATTATTCGAGATTATGGACCTATCCACTCATTTTGGTGTTTCAGCTTTGAGCGTTACAATGGCTTACTGGGAAGCTTCACAACGAACAACAGATCAATTGAGCTGCAACTTATGCGAAAACTAACAACACTGCGTTTCCTTGACAATATGACACTAGACAAAGATCTACTGCCGTTCTTTGAAGATGTCATGAATTCAATGACAAAACAATGCTAAAAATGCATATTCGGCTTTCACTCTATCTGATCTCCTAAATTTCTTTAATACCGATTTGGCACTACTGAATGCAATTGACTGGAAAAATACTTCTGCCATAAAACTACTTCTTTCGTACAAAGAAGGAAGTGTTGATAGTGTTGATAATGACGATTTGGCTCTTCTTTTTAAAGTGTACACTATCATGTTTCCAGAGAAGAATATTTTAATCGAACAGCTCAGCAGAACTATTTACAAATATAGCACTATTGAAATTTTTAATCAGCAATTTGGTTCAAAAGCAGCTTACAGAAGTAAATGATCGACAGGGATTTTGGCAGCATGGCCAAGATTAGATGGTGAAATTGATCAAACACGCAGCACAATGTAGTTTGGAATGGTTGACTTTTATTTTTCCCATTCATTGAAATTTGGTGAGGAATTTGTGAAGTTTTACTTTGCTTGTGTAACATGGCATCAAACCGTCGATGACACAAGTTTTAATCTAAACCCTTTGTGTGTGGCAAGCGTGAAGGATACACTGCCTGTTAAATCTTCAAGATTCCTACCTGTACAACGCATATTGAAGAAATGCGCAATCGCCATCAAGGAAAATCAAGATAAGAAGAAAAGGTATATTATTTCTTCTCTACTGCGACACTTACCCAAAGTCGCAATTATGCGTCATTCTTAGGGTACCTTACTTTCATGTGATACAGTCTAAATAAACATGCAATGTCACAACTGACATACAATGTACATAAACCATTATAAATCCTCAGGATTCAGACTAGCTAGACCCTAAAAATGACGATAAGAGCGCGAGACAGGCTAATGCGCAATTAATTCCATTGCTGCACTAATAGTCAGGCATATAAAGAAACAAGTTTTACTGCAACCTTACTTACAGGAGCAATTCTATCCGTTTTGCTTTTTCTTGTCCCTTCATAGCCAGTAAACACATTTCTGTATGTTGGCGGCGTTCAAATCTCTTGTGCGCTCTTATTTATAAATCTATAAATACAGTGTTAAAAACATGAAATTTCAGATTTCAACAAAATATTTCAGATCTTTACGAAATTATGCAAAATTCCTGGGTACTAGTCTAAAATCGTACATTCATAGAAAAGGGGATATCGTGATATTGTTGGCAAGTGCCATCAAGAAATTTAAACAACGGCGACATACATAAATGTGTATCAAGGAACAAGGCAAAATGGAATTGCCGCTCGATATGGTGAGTTTTTCCTCTACCATGTACATCAGTGTGCCTGAGAAAATCATGCAGAATTATTATATGGACGACGCAAGTCCATTTTATCTTGGGCTTGGGTGCACAGTGATCAGAGCCGTGGCACGGCTCTGAAGTTGAGGTTCGATTCTCAGTTATGCACCTTTCGATTTTCACATATATAGATACATACGAGCGTAAAAGGCTGCTGGGAATCGCTAAAAAATGCATTAATTTTTCAGCAATTTCCAGCAGCCTTTCGGGCTTGTCTTCGACTTTTTCACTTTGCTCGGGGACAACCTTAATTGAAAGAGCTGTATATATATATGAAAACAGTACGTCAACGCTCTGCCGAAAGTCGTGTGGGTGCCTGGGTGGTACTCCGGTTTGTTTCCACAGGGAAAGTTAACATGGTGGGGTTGGAAAACTGGCTGAAATACAGGTATTACTGACTGGTACATGCTGTTTTAAATATATACTGTTTATTCAAACTGTGATTGTTTGAAAGCTGGACCTTGAGGTTATCCTTATATTCAGGTCACCTAATTTTATAAAATCGTTTCAAACTTTTTATCATTCATATCAAACGAACAACGTGTTGTAATTATGCAAAAAATACCTGTATTAAATGCCTGATAAGACTAGCCAAAGTGAAATAACTGAACAAAGACACAACAGCTTTGTTCACTGATTATGTGTACATATAGTACAAGTTGTTATATAAACGAATTTTGCTAAAATAGAAACTCGTTCTACTAATAGTTTATTAATAAATGTGTGCTAAATAAATTACTTCATTTGAAAATAATCATATATGTTTATTTGAGTTTATCAATAACTAAACTGGAATACGTATAAAACTGTGGCAATTGATACACCAGGCAGAAATCTTAGTTTAAAGATATAAACCGTTTCACTTTTTCTAATAATTAGACTGGGATGGGACAAAGAAAAGCGGGAATTGAGCAATTCCACGTATACAAGGTTAAAGGGCCTGCCATGTACAGACTCCGTGTTAACTGGACTACACATACTATTTGCCACATAAGTGGCCGTGTAATGTATCAGTAGATACAAACTAGAGCAGAAGGCGAGTGTTTATATCTCTGACACAGTAAAGTAAATGGCTTAATGAGTTTTCTAATCCACAGTTGTGATATTAAGATTGTATACAACAGTACAGATGTATAATTCAGTTATTGCTTAAATATGGATCAGTGCTCCAGGGTGGTGCATGTGTGCAGTGGCAGTGCTCATTGTTTATAAAGTTCAGTAAGTTCCAAGGCCACATTAATAGCTGTAGGCCGTCTTTCAGGCGTTCCATTTTGCATGCTTTGGCTATTTTCTGCAAACCAGTTAATTTTGTGTAATAAACAACCAGAGAGATGACTTGGCCAAATGAGTAGATGTCGCTGGCAGGAGATGCTGCACTTTTCCCCCAAACTATTTCTGGTGCTATATGTTTGTAGCATTTTAAGTAGTGATCTCGCTCCTTTGTGTTCAATTTATAAATTTTAGCATTTTCGGCTTTTTTCATTTTCCCAAAATCTATAATAACTGGTTCATAAAAACCTGTGCTATTTTGCAAAATAATATTATTATGCTTAATATCACCATGGATATACCCTTTATCATGAATATGAGCCAAAGCAGCCGCACATTTCTGCAGAACAACAGCCCATTCCATGTTTTCCAGAGAGAGGGTCTTTGCCGCATGACCAACAGTAATACATTGCCCACCAATTCCATGGAATTCAGTAACCAGTGCATATGGTTTGGATTTGACATGAACACCAAATAGAAAAGGTAGACCTTTTATAAAGAAAACACATAATAAAGTTAGGAAAGTATTTTAATTCACATATTTTAGGCTCAAATGGCACCCCCTATACTTGTATAGATGACATAGTGTATGAAAATTAAACAAAAATCATTATGACAGTCTGGGGTCAGTTGATTGACAGGGAAGTACTGTAGTGTGCCTTCTCCAATAATAGCTGATGAGCCACTTAAGGTGTTATATGGGTTGACAGTATTCATTGCTGACTAGGCTATTTAAGTAATTGCACAATAGTACAAATCAGAATGCGAGCAACTTATAAATCAAAGCAAAGCCGGTTACAGGTGAACACGACTGTTACAATCTGGGCTCATGACTGTGACTGTTGATGTTTCAAATATATATTTAATTAAAGAATTTACCAATCGGACCTAAATGTCAAAAAACAACTATTGCATTCAAGCCTTTTTGTTATGACAAATTTTTAATATGGCTAGTTTTATTTGCTTATCTGTATGACTCTGTTAATGAGCAATTTTGGAAATTGTTTAGCAAATGTTTTGTGAAATCACCTGAAAGGAGGTAGTCATTTGCGTTCCGTGCATACATTCTGATACATAATAGTACATAATTGATTATGTATGATCATACCCACGCTTTGTAATGATACGTGCTGCTCTATTTTGTAAATGTTGCAATTGGTTTTGAAGGGTAATTCCAAGACAACCCCCATACTTGCGAGCAGTAATCAAAGTGTGGTTGAATTAAGGTTTTGTAAACTGTTACTAGAGTCCTTACATCAACAAAATCTCTTAATCGTCTAAGGACGTAAAGACCCTTGTTCACTTTCTTTGTAATTAGATCTGTTTGAGAATGCCAGTTAAAGTTTTCATCTACCATCATACCCAGTGATTTAGTAATGGTTACTCGTTGAATAGGCGTATCTCCAATTTTATTTGCAATTCGGAGTTACACTGTTTAAGTTTTTGATGTGATCCAATAAACATATATTCAGTTTTGCATTTGTTCAGGCTCAGCTTGTTGGCCACCATCCAAACTGAAATATTTGCTAGGTCATCATTTAACATTTCAAAAATTACTTTGACATCCTTATTTGCCATTCCTAATTGAATATCATCAGCAAACATGTCACAATCCGCACTTTTTAAGCAATTTGGCAAGTCATTTTTTATGTAAACAAGAAAGAGTAAGGGTCCAAGAATTGAGCCCTGCGGAATACCAGTAATTATTGTTCGTGGTTCAGACCGTTTGCCATTAACTTGACAATACTGGGTACGATTAGACAGATAGGACCTAAACCAGTCATGCGCCTTACCTCTCACTCCATACAAATATAATTTTTTTAATAAAATACCATGGTCAACGGTATCAAATGCTTTTTTTAGATCTAAAAAGACAACTCCATTGATTAACCCTTCATCCATATTTTGATAACAATGGTTTGTCATTTTTAACAATGCAGTAACAGTGGAGTGGAGAGGTCTAAAGCCATGTTGTGCATTAGTTAGTATATTTGCCCGTTGTAAATAGGAATAGACCTGGTTATGTACGAGTTTCTCCATTGTTTTGGCAATTACCAAAATAATAGATATGGGTCTATAATTATCCATATTAGATTTAGGGCCACTTTTGTAAATTGGGGTGACTCTTGCATTTTTCCACTCAAATGGAAATATGCCGGTGGATATAGACCTATTAAATATTGTTGTCAGCGATTTAGCAATGTAAGGTGAGGCCAGTTTAATAAGTTTTGCTGGTAATCCATATAGGCCCGATGCCTTAATAGATGATGATGATAATAACTGGCAAACTTCCTGTTCAGTTATTTCACAGAAAATAAATTCCTGCATTGATTCAATGATATAACTCTCTGGTGGAATAGAGCAACTTGAGATGTTTTGGGAAAGAATGAAACCAAGATCAGTGAAATGATTATTAAGGTGGGGGTCTACCTGAAACGACTTAAAAAATCGATTTTCGAATTTTGATGAAAATGACTTCTTTGATACCTTATTTATATGGTTAGATGGTTTTTGTGGTGATATCTTGAAAAATTTTCCTGTAAAAATGATTTTAAACAAGCAACCTGTTTTTTCTATTTCCATTGCCATGGTAATAACAAATATTATCTTCTATTTTTCTGTATTTTAGTGCTGTTAATTTGTTCCCTCTCCTCCCTAGATACAAAATATAATGCAGGCTCACTACTAGAAGTATTTAGCAGCGGTTTCACATTAAAATTATGTGTGTTTCAAGCATGTTTCTTGTGAAATTCAGTGCATTTGTCTAAAACGGTATTTTGTCTTATTGGAAACTTGTGAAATATATAGCTTTTTCGTCAGTGTTTTTAAACGATGGTTAGAAGGAAACTTAGCAGTTGCTATAGAAAGAGTAGAAAGGGCAAATCTTTCTCTGGAGTACTTGCGTGGTAAGGAAAACAAGACAAATCCTTGCCCGAACGTGATCAAAACATTGATAAACAATTATCAAAAATTATACGAACAATGATGAATGATCTACTCCTGTAAAGTACATCGCGACAGAAACGTGTTCATTGTGGTATTCCCTCCGATAGCCCGGATCTATACGTAGTCATGATGAAAATGAAGAGTATATTACTCCAAGTTATAGACTTGTGGATGTGAATGTGTTGTCATCAACCATGAACCATGATGGCAGAAGTTCATAATTGTGTGGAAGGTTTGCTACAATTTCTTGTTATTTACATGTAAATCATTGAATTGTTGATTTGTTATGCAATTGTTTTTACTTAGCACTTTTGTAATAAAACTATTTTATATTTTAAACCTAATGTCACAATGTTTAACTAGTGATTACATAATATTTTATACAGTATGTTAGAAAGGTTAACTGTAATAATACATATGTATTATAGGTAAACTTGATGTCACTGAGAATCCTAGTGCAAGGGCTGGTCTAATGTCAGAGTTTTCAATCAGTTGCACTGAATGTGATCATTCGACAAAAATGGAGAGATATGCAATGGCAGTGGACAGAGGCAGATAATTTGATGTAAACAGATGAGCAGTATATCATTCCTTGGAAACAGGTGGAGGATATGAATCACTGTCCTCTTTTTGTGCAATAATGAATATTCCTTGTATGTCAAAGCCGGCATATTCTGCACAAGTAGAAATCATTCTTGCAGGACAAGATATTGAAGCTCAGACTGAGTTGTCGAAAGCAGCAGAACAATTGCACAATCTCGTGAAAGTCGAAAACAATCTCAATACCGATGTGGATGAGGAGAATGGCGACGACAGGAAGCACTTGCAGAGAGGCAAAAGGGGTGACTTATGAGGAAGGGGGATTCTAAATTACAACTATATTTTTACTAGACAGTTTCAGAGCCATTACTATTCAGAAAGTTCAGGTATATTCCATATTTATATCATAAACACTCTGTTTTTTAGATACAAAAACTTTAAAGCTGATTTCCGGAAACACTGTATTTTCCATCTTTGACTATAACGTAACAATTCAACCAATCAGGCTGAAATTTTCTGTGTTTTTCTAGCACACTATAATAAGTGAAATGAGCGATAGAATTTTGTTTAGGTTACATTGTCTTAATTTGGGAAAGAAAACACTGCATAATTTACTTGATATTTTGAGATGACATTGTTAAAAAAGTATTTGGAATATAAAAAATTCCATCAAAAATTCCATTGTTTTCATTTGTTAGCTGTTGCTACCAAGCCTACCAAATTACAAACAAGTCGCCAATGTAAAATATTCTAAGGCCTGTTTACCAGGCTGGCCCACTAAGCGAGACAGCCTGGTAAGCAAGATCTCGATCGCTGTGCAGTTATTTTTATAGTAAAAATTATTGTGCATTTATATGCATAAGCGGGCTGGCCTGGTTGACAAGAACTCGCTTGAAAGAGGCGAGATCTCATTTACTGGGATGGAAATTTCTCCATATAAAAACTGAGAAGCGGGCTAGCCCGGTTGCCAAGATGAAAGTTCAACGATACTGCCGCAATCTATTTTTAACTTGCTATCAAAACAATGTCAAAATAACAAAATTGTTCCGGCACGTGGGACAAAATTTTCCAATATAAACACAAGAGGAAATTCACTTACTAGGCTGTCTCGCTAAGCATGCTAGGCCGGCTTCCATATAAACAGGCCCTATATCTTTCTTGTTCTTTGTGTGGTGTACATGAAATAAGTCTTTACTAGTAGTGACAACTTAATAACATGACTAGAGGGAAATTATAACAATTAAATTGCCTGATGCCGAGGGATGATTTGTGAAAGCCCGAGGACTTTCACAAATTTTCCTGAGGCAAAGGGCGATTTAATTGCTAATTTCCTGACTAGTCATGTTATTAGTTTGTAATATTATGATCACCGTGGGTATCGCCTGTAGGTGTTGATCTGTTTTGAATACTGTATGATTGTGGGATGAACACTATTCATATATATGCACATGCATATCCCACAATTGACATGCTCAAGATTGCAGAATAAAAAATGGCAAAGTGATTGTTTGTATGTGTACGGGACGGTGTTGTCAGAGGTACAGCTCTCCAATGAGAGGTAATGAGGTACAATATTTACCTGGGAAATTTAGTACAAAACAAAAGATTTCTTTGTCTTCTAGTTTTCCCTCGTCAAGCATGCAGGGGAAAATTACAAGACAAAGAAATTTTTCCCCGCCCTGGAAAATTTAGAAGACAAAAGTGTATGCATGTCTATGACAGAAATTCCCTTTCAGAATGAAAATCGAGGTGATCATGGTATTACAATATTAATCCATTAAGGTCCAAGACGTTTCCCTTGACAAGTAGAATTGTCTTGTGTTAGACAGAGTAAATACCAAAGTAGTGCATTGCAAATCGATATACCAGTATATAACATGTATATCCATGCACTGCATTATAGTACTGTATATACATATTTTAGATGTACAGTCCTGTTAAATTGATAGTGCATGTTTAGTTTCAGTTGGTACTTGAAAACACAATTACAAATACAATAACATACATTTAATATTTATTAATTTCCTTTTTGTTTTAATACTATAGAATAATCTCCGGAGAAAAATCAAGGCACTCAATACTGTAGATGAAAACTTGCACTTTAGATTGAATGAAAGGTACTGTATAGTCACAATCTTATGTGTTGTATATAATATGAAACTTCACATTTGGGGTTGTGAGTACCTGCTATACTGCAGTTCAGATTATGATTTATAACCTTATTAACTTAATGGTTTTTGTCTGCTTAAAAGAGTTCAGAAAAACTGTACGGTACAATACCTACAGTAGTTAAACTTGTTAAGTTTCACAATCCTGATGACTGTACATTACCATCTATACATACTGTAGTGTACACTATAGAGATTTTGTTGGCATCTCACCCAACTGAAATCATGTTTTGACAGTTTTGTACATAGATACAAATTTGTAGGTCAAATGTAAAATTTTATATACATATACTAGACCTAACCAGGCATCGAGCTATACATAGTTCTAGTTTTCCACAGCTGCTCCTGTTTAGGTCTAAAAAATTATAATTATAAAATTTTACACTTGAAAATTCCCCCCTACAAACTCCTTCAACAAATCCTTCATAGAGTTTTCCCTTTATAGCAATTCAGGGTTGTACTTATAGGTCAACCTACCACGATTGTCATGTTATATTTGCAGTGACTCTATTGGTGGATTTAGGGGAAGGGTTACAGGAGTTGTTGGGGAACGGTTGGTATGCGCACCCTTGGAAAATGGCTACTGTAACCCAGAAAATTGAAAAATGGCTACTGTAACCCAGTTTTATTGTACTTCATTATGCCATAGTGGAAAGTTTATAATTTGCCCGCCAGATATATCCGCCAGCAAACTTGCCCTAAAAATTTTGTGCGCCATGGGGGATTGGTTCCGACAGAAAACATTTTTTGTGCACGCGAATACCGCCTGCTACGCAGGCTAACATTTTATCACTCGCTCAACAATCCGATAACAGATGCCTATACTGGACATATATAGAGGTCATATATAGTTCATCTTTTATACCATGATATATATATATATATATCAGTGATTTATACAACTCTGGACGTTAGGATATAGCTGTAAAATAATGAAACAACAGTACGACCCTGACCTGCATGCATACATTGTCCATGACTTTTAGTTTAACTAGTCTACTTTCATACTTTGTGTTTTGTTTGACACTGACGGACATAATGGACATAATGAAATGTCCATGTTCTTTGAAATTAAATCAGATATAGATTATAATTAATGATGGTAATAGAACAAATAGGAGTGCTATTAATGCCATAATCATACGAGTGATTACAAAATCAACCTCCCGCTACGCGGTCGGTTGATTTGTTAATCACAAGTATAATTATGGCATTAATATACAAGTATGATTATGGCATTAATAATGGCATAATCACGAGTATGATTATGGCATTAATATCGTTGTATTACTTATTAATTATTTATTACGGAAGATAAATAATTAATCATATATAATGAAATAACAATTGATAGACAAATGCGGATTATTTTACAACAGAAATGGAAGTTGTGGATCTTCGGTGCGAAGTCGTTTCAGCACTTTGCTTTCTTGGCTGTACTTTGCTCGACTGCCTAATGTTGGTGTAGCATGCTTTGGTAGGGAAAGCTCTTTGTCACCATTGATGAATATCTCGGCAATTTCCTTAACCGCACGATCACACTCCAAAATTGGTGGAAACAGTAATTACAGTATTATTGATTGTTAACTGTTAAGTAACTGCTCCATTAATGAACTGAAACTCGAAGATATAACAAGACTTAAATCAGTACATTTTAATGTTAGAGCGCAATTCGAATTAAAGATTAATTCTGCAGTTTTCCAAGGGCAGTAACTTTCTAGGTGCATATTAACTGCATATTGAAAGTTAACAAGACTAAACTAATACATACCTTAAAGCCAAAGTTGCATTACATTGTCCGCCACACATTTTCTGTGACTTCATCACTCTGTAGTAGGACTCTACAATTGCCTCTGTCCCACCTTTTGCCAAGGCAATGTCAATTGTAATGCATCCCTCACAACCGATTTCATTGAAGAGTCTCTCGTTGGTGTAAATGCTGTGGTAGACTTGTGCCTCATTCAGCTTGGCTTTGAATGGGCGTCCAGAGGTGTCTTCTAACGTTAACAGGTAAGTGTTGCTGAGGCAGGAGACGGAGGTGTCGGAACTCGGCTCAATTTTCTCCAGCTTCTTAAGCCGTTGTTGACAAGGCGATGACAGAGAAAACCACTTGGCAAGATGTTCTCCTGTATCCTTCCACAAGTATGACTTCAAGGCTTGCTTCATTTGATGAAAGATGGTGTTTCCCAAAGCTGCGTCGAGAAACAGTTCTTCCTTAATTGCAAGATCTACAATGTGCGGAAGAGAACAGACATAGGCGTAAAATCGCTCGAAATCTTTCCTCCCATAAAGTTCGAGGAGCCGTTCACCACTAGCCAGCTTTACTTTTCCATTCGGGAGTCCGCTCGCTGCACAATAAGCCAAATATTATGTCCAAATCAAGACAGGTTAGCACATTCTGGATCTCTTTGGTACAATCAGCTACTCTTTTCTCAAACGATGCAAGAACATAAGCCACAAATTCTTTCAAATCAGATTCAACATCATGGTGTTCTTGAACGTGCCACATGTTCAATTCTATACGATTTCCTTCTTCATCGTTGCTGATCTCCGAGGACACCACAAACCACCCAGGCACAAGTTCTGTACCTTTGAATGTTAGTGACCTTATATCTGCAGCATGTTTATGCAACAATGGCATAATGGAAGATGGTTTCTTAATCGAAAAGTTTTTCTGCAACTCCTCCATGCGGCTTTTTAACCTAGGCCACCACGTCGCCACTTTGCAACAAGGAACACTTAGGCCTTGCAACTCAACCATCATTTCCAACATTAGGCCAAAAATGTCACATATTCTGCAGAGATCCAGCAGAAAATCCTCTCCAGCTACCATATAATCCTTAATTTCAGAGAACTGAAGTTGTCGGAAGGTCTTGATGTATAGTGGAAGACTATCAAGGAGCTTATAGAATTCAACGTACTGGGATGTGGTGAATCTGGTGCTGCAGGTTCTACTCGTCAGCTTCAATACCAGATCATCGTCTGTACTCATCATTTCCATGGCATGATTCAGCGTTTTGCCTCTTTGGAAAATCTTGTGAACGATGCATGATCTTTGCACCAGACGATCAATGAACTCTTTCGAGTTTCCTACCTTTCCCTCAAAGACATCCTTGAATGCCAAATCAAGGAAATGTGCCGGATCCCAGAGGACACAGGAGAAGGCGAGATTCTCTTGGTGCAAAATAACTTTTAAGGTTGAAGCAAACTCTGCAGCTTGGTATGCACCATCACAAACAGTTCCCATCCATGCTCCACGAATGATTGCTTCTTCAACAGAATATGTATTTTTGATCTCGTTGTAAAGCATACGCGCTAATTCTGGTGCAGTTGCGCCAGACACATCTCCTTCCACCTCCATATTTGCGTTACTGTAAACTTCGGGTGAGCTCACTGCGATACCTTGGCGATAACCGTTGACTACTGAGCATATCATAACAGCCTGGTTTGTAATTCTGCTAGGTGTAGCTTTGTCGCAAGTCACATAATAATGTGGTGGTAGCTTAGTCGATGCCAATGGTGTACACAGGTAGTTCGAAACCTGACGGTTACACTAAGCATCTGCGCATTGTAAAATATCGCTAAATTGTTTGCGGCTGTGGCTAAACTCCCCCACATCCGAACCAGTAAAGGCATGTGAAGCTATCATCGTTTCGTAATGCACTGCGGCTGATTTTGCTTTTACTGCGGTCAAAGCGATGCTAATTAAATTTCGTGTGACAGTCATACCACGATCAATACGTTTTCTGTATTCATGATCATACTAGAAAAATTGTAAGTAAATATTTCCTACTTAACACAGTTTTATAGTTGTTTTGGAAGATACAAAGTTGCGACAGCGAATAAAATATATCTACATTCGTCACTCGCATTGAATCGTGTTTCTAAATGGGATAATAGAAACATAAAATAATTTGTTACCTGCAGAGCTTGAAAATGTAACTGGCTTCCAGCACCAACTAACGTTACATGGTTCTTCACTATGCTTTTCAGTCTATAGAATTCTTGATTCCCACCCTCTCTAAGTATAAGGCAGCTTTCTTAGCAGTGAGCAGTAAACCAGTGGCAAGTGATCCTGAATAACTTAAAGATATAAGATGAGAAACATGCAGTTACACATTTTCAAAAATGTATTGTATACTGCATTCAGTAAGCAAGCATGGTCTGCATAGAAACTTACCCTCCTAGCCCCTTTTTTGCCACATCTGCTGGGCTTGGTGTATGCGACTTCGTCGGCCGTTTGCTTCTGATATAGTTAAAACACGTATCACATCTCAAAACTGATAACACTCGTTGTACTTGATCCCCAGAAAAAAATCTGATATGCTTGCACAGTTGAACAAGATCTATTATGTTCTTGACTTCAGGCCAGTGTAACAGCAGCTCAGCCATTTCTCCAGCGGACTTGCTATAAATTGCCGATAATATTGTAGATGTGCCTCCACCCTTGGCTGAGTTTGCGGTTGAATTCAGTTTGAAGGCCTTAAATTCCTGGATCAGCATATCTACTTTAGCATGTAAAGAAACATCAGAAGTAGCTCTTGAAAAACCTTGACCTTTCGAAAGCGTTGTTGTTGACATGTTATCCACACTTTTGGCGCTTATATTCAGTGTTGATTGTATCAATTGTTGAGATGCAGGAGGGCTAGAAATCCCAGTTTTTGATATTAGTGTAGGTTGCGTACGTGCAACAGGACTAGGTTGCGATGCCGCGGACATATCTGCTGTGCCTGTGTTATTTAATTTTTTTCAGCACGCTTATCTTGGTCTGAATGGCTATCTTTTTTTCTCTAGGTTCTCTATGTACTTCCGGGCGTTTTTTATAGTCTCCCCTATGCTATAATATGATTTAACATCGACATTGTTAGATTTTCCACCATGGCGACGTGTGATATGTCTGCTCACAGATGATTTGTCCCTGCGACAAAGTTTAAACACATCTGGATGCGCACCAGACCTAAAGACACATTCAAAGACCATTTAAACAGGGAATTTTTGCCATGAAATTCGGGAAAAAACTCGCACTATTTCCCTTGATTTTGCAATTGCTTGTTTGTAATCACATGACTTTGGCATTCCAGTTGACAGGCAAATATATAACAAAAACCGGATATTTTGATGTTTTACTCAAGTTTAGAGACAGTTTAATACTCAATAAATGGATTACCGTTCAGATTATCTGGATACGAACCAGTCCGATAGGAGAAAAATAGTCCACAAGTTGTCTGATTGCCCGTCACTTGGACGAAAAGTCACATGATTGCAAACAAAGAATTGAACTGTGTACGTTTTTCTTATATTTCAAATAAGACAAATAGTGTTACCTAAAGCAAGTTACACATATTCCCCAATCATGCTTAACATCCTTTTTTGCCTGAGCAGCATCTTGAGTCTTTTGCAATTTTGCTGGTTTTAACCACCAATGCGCGTTGTCAACCTCTGATTGGTCTGAAGCTTTACGTTTAACACCTTGAGACGTCTTCGCTGAGCAGAAAAAACAATCGGTTACTGTAATTAATTAATCATCAGTCAATGCCACTCAGTAAAAGTTAAAAGAATTCACGAAAAAGACTGCACTGAACATCCTTCTGCTAAATACACTTACAATACAGCTGCGCATTACTAAAATAATTAACCTGTCTCAAAATTTCATTTAATCTCAAATACTGCACACATTTAAACATGAGACTGGCTTCTGCACAACTACATTATAAGATCGAAATGGCTATTCGTACTGGAATATGGCACCTGATTCTTACATTACGTAAAGTAGCAATATAAAATAGTTTTTTGCAACAGCAGTTTTAGCGAGCTTGCCGCTAGCGTATTCGGCAAAGGCGTTGCATGCGTGCAAAGTGAAACGAGGTCGGGTCCGGGTTTAGTTTAGCCGTCAGTCCTCCATTGACTTAGAAATTTTTCTTAAAGTATTTTTAATTTCCCCCCCCCCCCACTTTTTTAACTCTCAAATAGTTTATTAGACCTTTATTGGTTAGGGTTAGAGAAGGGGTTGGGGTCAGGTTTATCTTAAATATTATGACTGCAGTACGAATAGCAAATCAAACTCGGCGTACTGTTCCAGTACGAATAGCCACGGCGTTATAAAATTAATACATAACAAATTTTAGTTTACATATACCTGTTTTTTTCGAAGCTATGCACTTTTTGCAAATAACAGGGGCACCGTATCCCTCTTCCACTCCTTCTGGATGTTCTCCGCATATTGCATGTACCGAATTGTTGCATTCAAGACATTTATGGACATTTGACGATGGACCATTACAAACGTAACATTTTACTAAAATAAGTAAAATACAATTGGAACGAAGTTGGTTACGGGCCGTAACTTACGGGTCTGAAAGACTTTATTTTTAACATGTTTAAAAATTAGTCCTTTAACAGGTCGTTTTAATAGTTCGTAAGTTCGAAAATAGAAATAAATATGCATGAATATGGCTAATACGCTTCAAAAACTGACGTCAGTTGCATTACCTGTTTTTTTCCAGTGTAGATTCTTCAACTTCTTCTGGATTTTTCCTCTCCACTGTCTCCAGGGATTCATTCATACCCAATTAGTCAATTACCAAAAGCGGCAAAGTCAGAAAGCCCTCAAAAGGCAATGATAATGGTCGGAAATTTTTTTTTTAACTCGGAACATGAATAAACATGATATTTGTAGCATTGATTGAAAGGAATGCCGTCGGCGTAGATTTTTGCGCGACAGTTTGCCATATGCGTAAAATTTGCTGGCAAAATTATTTATACAACTGAATATTTTTATCATAAATTATTTTAAATACAAAGTTTTCATGGCGTTTTATAATACATTAGAAATTTAGAACAACAATCGTGCCACTGTGCCAGACACACTCACAGACGCACACGCCAAGTCGCCAACACTTATACCATTATACGCTTGACACCACGCCAACAGTTTACACCAAAATTTTGATTTAGTATTACGTCAAATTTGGCGTAATCTGTAAAATCCTACGCCAGATATATCCGGCGTAACATACAAACTTTCCACTATGGTCATTATGTACTGTACGTATGTGCTAATATCAATCTTGTTTGCCATTTCCTTTAGCTCGGAATCTCAGGAAAATGCTCAACTCTTTGGCAGACTAATTCAAGAAATTCATCATGAATTTGGTGCAGCAGAAAATTGTCCATGGTCACCTGTTGTTTTGAAAGGTTGATAAAATATGCTGATAATTATTTGCTTGTTCAATTAACCTTGAAATTTTGTAATCTAAGATCAAGTAAAATGTATACTGTTTATTAAGTCTAAGGCTCTGTTCGGCTACCATACATCACATTGTGTAAATAAATAAAATGTGAAAAATCGTATACTGTGTGTATAAATCCCTATTTGTCAAAGGGGACAAATTACTGAAATGTAACATTTCAAACAAAAGCAAACGTGTGAAAAGGTTTCCAATGTGTGCTTGAATGTAAATAGTATAGTTATAGTTACAGTTAATTTTTTGTATGATCATCAAGATTAAAATTTTTAATTGTTTCTGACGTTTCGGCTACAGTACCTATATATATACGACAGCCATTATCAAAAACGTATTACAAAAATTACAGAAACGTCAGAAACAATTAAAAATTTTTAATCTGGATGATCGTACAATAAATTAAATTAGTGGAAGAACCCAGATTCAAGCCCTTCAGTGAATAGTTATAGTCCATAATTGTACATTTGGGATCTGTACCATTAATGTACAGGTGAGGACACTGTCATCCATACACTGTCATCCATTAGAAGCATTCAGGCGATACCATGTCTCATGTAAGGCTAAGCAAAAACGAGTTGCCAGTGGTAAAGACGAAGACCATAATCGTTCATGCAGAAGGAGAAGCCGAAAGGACGAGGTGAGTTTAATTGTGGTTTAATCAGCTGTAGTATTTTGAACCACTTTATTATACTACATATAAGAACTGCACATACATAGTTACAAACACTAAGTTTATATACCTTAATTTACATACATGCTAATTAGTTCCGGTCTAATACACTACATCTCCCCCTCAATTTAATATAAATGTCAATATACTATTATATAAATGTCAATATATTAGTAAGTACTAACGATATCAAATGTTCAACAGATTATATGTTCTATAAGATCTAATTGTATGTTGGGTTTTTTTTTGTCTGTTTTTTCTTTTTACAAAATCTACTCTTACTAATTATGGAAATTTAACATGCTAATCCATTTAAACTTATAACGTCAATTTAGAATTATTATGAAACGTAATCTTTCATCCAAACTGGCGGTCGCCTCGCACGCAATGGTCGTACATTTGGACTTGGGCTGCTAGGCTGCGGTACTGAACTTGGTACGTCTGATTGATCTTGCTTCGCAGGATCTGCACTAACGGGTTGCGCTGTCGATTCCTCAACTTCATGAAGTATGACTGGCGTTTCTAACGTTTCTCTAGTTTCAACAACTTGTGGCTCCACATACTTCTTCATGTGCGCTATTCCTCGCATCTTATTATCTCCACCAGAATCTTGTATAACAACTGAATTGCCTTCTCTGCGAATCACTCTGTATGGAAGTGGTTCGAAACTTGACGTTAGCTTGTTTTTCCTCGTTTGTTTCAACAACACTCGATCACCCTCACTAATGTTGCTATCTTGGGCCGCGCGTGTCTTATCGGCGTATTCTTTCTGTCGGAGTTTTACACGAGCATCCCTTTCTTTCAAAAGCTGTTTCCGTTCTGTCTCGGTGACACGACTTTCATTAACTTCAACTCTCGGGAGCTTTTCACGTAGTTTCCTTCCCATCAAAAGTTCGGCCGGAGTTGTGCCAGTTACTGTATGAGGAGTTACTCTGTAATGGAATAGGAAATCTTCCAATGCTTTTTTCCAATCTTTACCTTCAATTCTGGCAATCCTAACGATCTTCAACAAGGTTTCGTTGCAACGTTCAACTCCTCCGTTACTTTGAGGCCAATAGGGTACGCCTTTCTTATTGATTATTCCGAGACTCTTTAAGAACGCTTGAAAATCTCTTGATGCAAATGGAGGGCCATTGTCACTGTAGCTTCATCCGGATAGAAATGAATGTTTGAACAAAATCCAAATGAATCTACTGGGGGTAGACGCGGTGCGTTGAATAAATCGAACTCGCCGTTAGAATTTTGACAAAAAGGTTATAACAATTTAATAAACAGACAACAGGATATATACAGGTGTGAAATATGTACAATACAATGATATCACGATACGACGACTTGTTGGGAATGAGGTGTCGAAATGTGAAATCGATGTTGTAGGTTTTAGTTGGTAGGATCAAATTCAATATCAAGACGTTGAATCACTTGAATGTTGATAAATCGCAGTTTTAGATCATTTAGATTGTCGTTTATCGTGGTATATTGTCCTTGCAGATGATATACTATCGATAGATATAGTATGGTTGATACAGAATCACATAGAATCGAGTAGAAATCGAGTAGAATCGTAACGTGTTGAATCGATCGGATAGAATCGATCGCGGATAGAATCGGTTCGAACTAGAATACAATGAGTGAAACAAACTAACTATAGTAAACCGTATAGAAACTAGGATAAATATAACAAGAAACTAATACTAATTAATATACTAAATAATATACATGCAAATATTTACTTATACGATTAGCATGCACTACACCCGAATTTAGCAGCGCTGGAAATGGAAATGCTGCCTTGACTTAGCGCGGATCTTAAGCCTACAAGAATACATGCGCATGCAAATGAACAAATACAAAACAAACAAACTGAATCATGCATGACATGGCGCAAATTATTCTAAAGTCACTTTTGTGTGAAACATTTCGCGCAACTATTAATATCGCAAAAAAACAACTTATTATCTATGTACTTACTTTGGTTTGCTAACGCACCAAACTTTAACTTTTAATAGCGTAGATATATGTGTAGCTTCTTCTTTCAAGCCAAGATAGAGTAAAGGTAGACGGTCTTCCTAACGTGGATAGAACTTGGCCAATACAGGGCCCAAAACAACTATTGCTTACTCACAAGCGTCCGCGTTAAAGACTTATTGCAGAATGAAGTTTACAAGTTGGGTAGACTGTTTTTGCACAAAAACAAACCGAAATTTACTGCGTAATCTACAAACCTATGTTTTTCGCAACGGACATAGCGTGGCTAGGCTAGGCAACCGCATTACGCATTTGCTGACCATACTTACGCATTTTGATGGGAACTTTTGCTTATAGCGGAAAATAACAACTTGTTTGTTTCCCATCGAACCTTTTCGAAAACATTAATTTGACCTTCCGTTTCGAAACCAACATTCCGGCCCCTTAAAGGCGATACTGAAGCCTTTACCTAAATATTTATGGGTTCGAAACATACGACGAAACTAAGCTAGCGCTAGAAAGAATATAGATTGTTCATAATTATCGCCGTCCATTTGCTAAACTATATTAGTAGTAACAAAAATTAACTATGTATTGTCTACTTATCGTTCACTGGAGTAGCTTCAGATTCCAAGAAGATTATCTTGTCCACTGGTCGAACGAACACTGATGAGCTTGTCTTCACCTTCACGGAACGTACAAGACCATCCCTTCGATTCGTGTGCACTTCCAGGATACGTCCAAGTGGCCAGGAACAACGTGCAGTTTTCTCGTCCAGGATCAAAACGATGTCACCGACCTCCAAATTTCTTCGTGTCTTGATCCATTTCTGTCGTTCTTGTAGTGATGGTAGATATTCCCTGATCCATCGCCTCCAAAACACGTTTGCCAGATATTGTACTTGACGCCATCGCTTTGTACTACAACAATCTTCCTTCGAGAACATTCCGGGTGGTAACTTTGGTCCACTTCGAAGGAGTAGAAGGTGGTTAGGGGTTAAAGGTTGAAGATCGCGGGGGTCGTCGGACAATTTGGTCAATGGCCGTCCATTGACAATAGCTTCCACCTCACACATCAATGTGTTGAGGCCTTCGTCATCAAGTAACTGTTCCTTTGTAATAGCTCTCATTACCTTTCGAACTGTTCGTATGCACCTTTCCCACACCCCACCGTGGTGTGAGCCTGCGGGTGGATTGAATGTCCATTTGATGTTCTGTTGAACGAGAAAATCGTGAATCTGCGCTTGATTCCATTTGTTTATCTCTTGTCGAAGTTCCCGTTCACCCTTAACGAAATTACCGCCGTTGTCCGAGCGCATTACTTCGGGTTGGCCTCGTCTCGCGATGAATCTCCGCAAAGCGTTTATGAACGATTCAGTATCCAACGAATTCGCTACTTCTATATGAATAGCTCGAATGGTCAGGCACGTAAAGATAACACCATATCGCTTTGCCCTTGTTCGTCCACGGCGTACTTCGAACGGACCAAAGCAGTCCACACCGGTAAATGAGAATGGGGGCTTTTCGGGGGTTGTACGATCTGGTGGTAGGCTTGCCATTTTTTGTTCAGCGGCGGGAGCTTGTCGTTTTCTGCAGCTAACACAACCATTCAATACCTTTCGTACCGTAGATCTTGCCTTGATTATCCAGAACCTCTCTCATATTAAGGATAACGTGTATTCTAAGCCAGAGTGACCGGAGATATGGTGGTAAAACTTGGTGATCAGGTTAACTACGTGGTGGGTTTTAGGAAGAATAACTGGGTGACGAGCGTCACTGTTGATTTGTGCTCGTTGGAGACGACCGCCGACACGAATGAGGCCGTCAACCACAATAGGATCGAGTTTTGAAATGTTACTGGTATTGCTCACCGAGTTGTTACCGTTCTTATCTTGAAGACGACTGAGTTCGTCCTTAAAGCAGTTTTGTTGCACGAGCTTCAAAATTTCAATTTCGGCGTTGACTAGTTCTGTCAAACTGATTGGTAGGATTTCTGTTGATGGGTGAAATTCTGACCGCTCTTGCCTTCGAGATTGACAAAGCAAACTCAGGTTTCTCTTGTAACGTAGTATCCATGCGAATACTCTCTTTAGGCGGCTCCATGACGAAAATCGTCCGATGAACTGTTCCACGAATTGGTTGTTGGGACTACTCGAGACATTAGTGGCGTAAACTAATGAACTCTTCTTTACCTCTGGATCATCGTCTGGAACATTTGCAGTCAACTCTTCAGGTCTCTTTGGCCACGCTTCGTTCGGTTTAGAAAGGAAATCTGGGCCTTCTATCCAACGCTGAAGAGAATCTGCTGGAGCGCCTCTTGATGATGCGTCGTCTGCTGGATTTGAATGAGTGTCTCCGTAATTCCATTGAGTAGGGGTTGAAGCATCATGTATTGTTGCAATTCGATTTGCAACAAATGTTTGGAATCGCTTGTTTGTGTTTTCGATATAACGCAAAACACAAGTGCTATCTGTCCAGAAGAAAGATTGATCGATAGGTATACTTAGTTCGTTTCTCGACATTTTATCGAGTTTTCGTTGACACGACAGCTGCTGATAGTTCCATTCGTGGTATCGTCACCGGTTTTATTGGTGCAAGTCTGGATTTCCCCATAACGAATGAGCACTTGACGTTTCCCGAAACGTCTTCTACTCTGATGTAAGAAACTGCCCCATAGCCTTGTTGTGAGGCATCTGAAAAATGGTGGAGTTGCGTTGATTTGATTTCCTTCATCGTTGCTGGTTTGAAACAGCGTTCAACAGCGAGGTTTTCAAGTTGAGGTAGATCATTCAGCCATGCTTGCCAGCGTTTGAGAAATTCATCAGGTATTTTGTCGTCCCAATCAAGCTTTAGACGACAAAGATCTTGTAGAATCAATTTCGCAGAGAGAATATAAGGGGCAACGAATCCGAGTGGGTCGTAGACGGAACTTACGATTGACAGTATTACTCCCTTGTTGCTGGTCGATCTTTAATTACGATCGCGAAACCAAACGTATCCGATGATACGTTCCATCGAACACCGAGTGCTCTCTCTATCGGGGTCTTGTCGAAATTCAAGTCCTTGACTTGGGCCGCTCCTTTCCGATTCCGGCAAGGACTCTATCACCTTTCGTGAATTCGATAGCCACTTTGTTAACTTAAAACCTCCCAGTGCTAACAGTTCACGTAGATCCTTTGCAAGTTTAATGGCTTCGTCTTCTTCGCGAACTGATTTCAGACAATCATCAACATAGAAATTGCGTTGGACTGTTTCAATGGTTTGGTCATCGAACTGTGATGCATTGTCTGCTGCCGTTTTCCTCAGAGCAAAGTTGGCGCAACTAGGGCTGGAAGCGCTCCCGAACAGATGGACGTTCATTTGATATTCTTCAGCTGGGGTTTCAAGATCGGCGATCTAGAGTTTGGTTAGCATGAACAAAATTCGCCGTTGGAATCTTGGTTTCTTTTCTGCCTAACGGACCATTCAGGACCCATCCGAGAGCCGTTCGACTTGCGAATGGACCGCCATTTTGACTTTGTCTTATTTTACAGGGTTGAAGTGCCCGTGGGACGTCACTACCGATCAATAGACCAATGTCTGCGTCGATCGATTTGATCTCGATTCCACATAGATAGGGCCAACGATTTACATCTTCTTGCTTGCCAATTGCTTCCTTAATGACTGGCAAACTGTTTCTGGAATACACTGTGGGTATAGCTTAATATCGCAATTACCTTCGAGATTGGCAATATCCAGGCTGACTATGGAACATTCTACTGCCGCATTTTCGCCTTCCATTGTAGTTAATGAAAGCTTTGTTTTCTTACCGTTAGTCCCGAGTTTCTTGAGCAGAGCGTCCGTGCAGAAGGTAGTGTTTGAACCCGAGTCGAGGAATGCGTATGTTTCCACAGTTTTCGAGCTCCCTTTCGCCTTAACTTGAACAGGGACGATTGCGAGTCCTGTGACCGAGGAACTCGTAGTCGGGTTGGACTTGACGTAGCCGTTGTTAGCTGAATTAGCTTGATCGGCTTCGGGACCTTGCTTTACTGGGACTTGCTTGTCTTGTTTGGGCTCCTCCTTGCCGCTATTTATGGGTTGTTTCGTTTTCGGGTGGAGAAAGGTTGAATGCTTACTTGTACACCCTTCGACCTTGCAGAAACTTTCCTTCGAACACGATCGCACAAAGTGACCAGTTGATACAGAGCTTCTTCTCTCTGACGAACTTCTGTCTGTCTTCAAGAGACTGTTTTCTAAATTTATCGCAACGAGATAACCAATGATTCGATCCACACTGAGGACATTTGGGGGGTTGCGTGGTGGATTGGACTGAAAATCCCGAAGCCTTCCCATGTTGCTGTAATCTCTGGTTTTGCCTTGGAATTATTTTCGACTTGTCGATGGCAATCTTTCCGAAAACGGTATGGGTTGCAGCTGTGGCCTTAGCGGTGACGAATTCGTTAACGTCCTTTACCGTGACGTCTCGAGCTTCCTTCTCTATAATCCGATCAACGGTGTCTCGCCATCTAACTCTCATCGCGTAGGGCAGACGGTCGATTATTTTCTTTAGGTTATCGGAGTTGTTCAGCTTGTCCAGATATCCGATCTTTTCCAATGTGTTCGTGAAATTCGTTAATTGTACCGAGAACTGCTGCAAGGCGGTCCCGTCTTCATTCTAAATAGGCGGGCCCTCGATCAGTCGTTGAACATGAGCTGCCGCTATCCGGTAGTTCTGCCCGTATTGTTTCTTCAGCAGCTTTCTAGCTTCTGCATATCCCTTATCTTCGTGCATGGAGAGACAGCTTCTCATGAGTTCTTGTACGGAACCACTGGTATGTTGGATGAGGTAGTAAAGTCGTGCACTTGGGCTGGTGGTTTTGGATTCAATCAGATGTTCGAAGGAGCGAATGAAATAGCAGTAGTCGATGGGATTCCCACTGAAGATAGGCATGCTTGGTTGAGGTAGGGTGAGGGCCATAACTCCCTGCTGTTGTTGATGGATAAGGTGTTGAAGAGCATTGCTCTGTCGATCTTGCATCTCTACAATTCGTCTGAACGATTCGTCACGTGGGGTAGAAGTTGTATTTATTGGAGTGTTGGGGAACTCGTACATCGCATTAACCTTCGGACCATTTTCCTTCGACCCTCCTCGATGTTGGTTAGAGACAGGGACAGTTTGAGTGTCTGATTTCGGATCAGGATCAAATTCTCTAAGCTCTTCGGCTTCGACTTGCTCGTACACGGATTGTTCGGCTCCGGCTGCGGCAATTTCTCTACTCAATTGCAGCTCCTGTTTGCGTTGTTTCAGGACTAGCTCTTCTATTTCAAGCTGATGTAGACGCCGCAGAGTTTCTGCTTGGGCTTCTAAGGCTGCCTTTTTCGCTGCTGCCTTCGCTTTCGCACTACTAGTGCTTCTTGTTGAACTACACATTGAGTTTGAACGAGACGACACGCGGGAACTTACGTTACTGATAGAGTCCTCTGGTTGGATGCGTATCTGAGTTTCTGAAACATGTTGACCTTTAAAGGATCTTTCAATGTTTAGTTGCACTTGTTTTACTAAGGAGTCCATTTCATGCTCGAGCTCTTTCACTGATAACTCGACAGCTTTACCATATTGTTCAGAATCATGCAGCTCATTTTCGTCACAAATTTGAGAATGATAGGCATTGTGGGCCCTTTGGAATACATATAGAACATTAGGCAACTCGTTTAAAAGATCTTTTATGGTTGATAAATTATCTGGATTGTTCATTAATCCTCTAATTCTATTAATTTTCTTGGTTACGTGCGCTCTTGCCAAACCACGCGCCCTCTTTAATTGTTGAAGTTGTTCCTGTGTGGAAGCCATTACGTTAATTGCCTTTAATTAATCGTATTCGTTTTAAGGACGTGTTAATTGATCTCTAATCGACGTGGAAAGGTAAATCTAACCGCAGGATGACAGCGACGAAATACGACACGGTATGACGCAGAATATTTTGATTGATAAATACTTCGAATTCCTTTTAACCATGCAGCAAATTCGAACTAAAATGTAGCTTCATCCGGATAGAAATGAAAGTTTGAACAAAATCCAAATGAATCTACTGGGGGTAGACGCGGTGCGTTGAATAAATCGAACTCGACGTTAGAATTTTGACAAAAATGTTATAACAATTTAATAAACAGATAACAGGATATATACAGGTGTGAAATATGTACAATACAATGATATCACGATACGACGACTTGTTGGGAATGAGGTGTCGAAATGTGAAATCGATGTTGTAGGTTGTAGTTGGTAGGATCAAATTCAATATCAAGACGTTGAATCACTTGAATGTTGATAAATCGCAGTTTTAGATCATTTAGATTGTCGTTTATAGTGGTATATTGTCCTTGTAGATGATATACTATAGATAGATATAGTATGGTTGATATAGAATCACATAGAATCGAGTAGAATCGTAACGTGTTGAATCGATCGGATAGAATCGGTCGCGGATAGAATCGGTTCGAACTAGAATACAATGAGTGAAACAAACTAACTATAGTAAACCGTATAGAAACTAGGATAAATATAGCAAGAAACTAACACTAATTAATATACTAAATAATATACATCCAAATATTTACTTATACGATTACCATGCACTAGACCCGAATTTAGCAGCGCTGGAAATGGAAATGCTGCCTTGACTTAGCGCGGATCTTAAGCCTACAAGAATACATGCGCAAGCAAATGAACAAATACAAAACAAACAAACTGAATCATGCATGACATGGCGCAAATTATTCTAAAGTCACTTTTGTGTGAAACATTTCGCGCAACTATTCATATCCCAAAAAACAACTTATTATCTATGTACTTACTTTGGTTTGCTAACGCACCAAACTTTAACTTTTAATAGCGTAGATATATGTGTAGCTTCTTCTTTCAAGCCAAGATAGAGTAAAGGTAGACGGTCTTTTTAACGTGGATAGAACTTGGCCAATACAGGGCCCAAAACAACTATTGCTTACTCACAAGCGACCGCGTTAAAGACTTATTGCAGAATGAAGTTTACAAGTTGGGTAGACTGTTTTTGCACAAAAACAAACCGGAATTTACTGCGTAATCTACGAACCTATGTTTTTCGCAACGAACATAGCGTGGCTAGGCTAGGCAACCGCATTACGCATTTGCTGACCATACTTACGCATTTTGATGAGGCCTAAAAGCATGTAAAGCAACAGGTCTTGATAAAATTCCTGCTATAATTCTAAAATTTTCTGCAAACATAATTGCACCCTCGTTGACATTCATCTTCAATCTGTCGCTTGCAACAGGCGTATATATAGATGAATGGAAGCGTGCTCGTGTTACGCCAATATTTAAATCCGGGGATAAAAGACAATGTGAGAACTATCGGCCTATTTCAGTTTTACCGGTGGTGAGTAAAGCCTTTGAGAAGGAAGTTTTACGTCAAGTATATAGATACTTGTCTGAAAGCTCTCTTCTGTCAAAGTTTCAATCTGGATTTCGTCCAAAGCATTCAACTGTAACTGCCCTCATCCAAATGTGTGATGAGTTGCTAGAAAATATGGACAATGGAAAGTTAAATGGGGTTGTGTTCATAGATATCAAAAAGGCATTTGACTCTATAAACCATCGCATTTTGTTAAATAAAATGAATGAGCAATTTGGAATTTTTGGCGTAGAATTAAAATGGTTTGAGTATGTTAAAATATATGCAGCAGGTTCATTTTAAGTACACTTTGATGTAATTTATCTATTCAAATGTCATTTGTTTGTCTTCAAAAGTTATCGTGCAACTTTGAACGCGATTTTCTCAAAATGACATTTTACCGAAGTCTCTCTCATTCAATATTAGTCCAAATTTGATAAATAGATCTAAAACCCAAACCTCAAAAATCTTATTTATCATTAGAATATATCAATAAAAAAATATTTTTGTCTACAATGAATACCCAATTTTTGCCGATTTTGAAAAAAAAAAAATTTTTTAATGAAATCTTATCAAATGTGTTATTTTTGGAGGTTTGCATGTTTTATACATCTATTGACTTTCCTTCAAACTTAACTATACAGTATACTTTGATGACCATTATTACTCTTGCTATCATATCCCGAAAAAGGGGTTTTTTTTCACTATATAGAAGGTTGTGGCTCGGTAACCATTGAAACAGCACATGTGAAGTTTGTATTTTTGGTGTCAGCACGTGATGTTCTATCATATGCAACCTAAACGAAGTTCATAATACTAAAAATAAAAAAAATTAATCATATTGTCCCAGACCACCTTATTAAATAAGGTTCACCCTTGTGGCATAATTGAATGTTCTGCCCGCTTCTATAACCCGCTTTTTTGTAGATTGCACAACATCTACTTATTCTACCTATCAATATAGTTAGATACATGACACAAACCATAGGGCTCATGATATATCTCAAGACCCTGTGAGTATGTACATAGTCTAACTGCATCTATACTTAAATACTAAGGAATAAACTTACAATCCTCACACAGACTTAACCACAAGTGAAATACTAAGTAATAAACTAACAATCCTCACATAGACTTAACTACATGTGATGGACAGATTACGGAATACACAGTGAACAACAAGGACTAAGTTTACAATATCTCACTGCATGGTCTACTTTCCAGACCCTGTGAAGATATATTTAAGAAAACCTTTTACTTAAATGAGATACAGGAAAATTACACTACACAAAATCACAAGTCTTGTTACCAATTCCTGATATACAACATCGCAGTATGGTCAAATCCGACCCTGTGATAAATTCATGTGCATCATCAAATTACACCTATCAATTATAAGTACACCACAGGTTCAAGACGCATGTAGAGGTCCTATTACCTATCCCAAAATTAAAATATTGCGTGACGTCAGTCTACGACATTACCGACACTCAACAATGGGTAGGGGTAAAACGCGGAAACGGAACGGAACGGACCGCGGAACCGGAATGGCGGAACCGGAAAAACGGAAACGGAAAAGAGGGTAAAACGCGGAAAAGGGGGTAAAACACGGAAAAGAGGGTAATACGCGGAAAAGGGGGTAAAACACGGAAAGAGGGTAAAACGCGGAAAAGGGAGTAAAACTCGGAAAAGAGGGTAAAACGCGGAAAAGAGGGTAAAACGCGGAAAAGAGGGTAAAACGCGGAAAAGAGGGTAAAACGCGGAAAAGAGGGTAAAACGCGGAAATCAAACTTTGACTTTGTTAACAAAATCAAATTTAATGTAATTAAATACCATAATAAAACGAAGTAAATGTACTTCATTACTGTACTTGAGTTCTATTTTTGAGAAGTCGGCATGTGACAAAGTAAACTTTCTTTGGAGTACTTTTACTTGGAACGAAGTCGTTTAAAGAAGTAACGTTTTACTTCGTTATTTTCATTATCTTGTGAAGTATTTTGTTACTTTGTAACTTTTGTTTAATTTTACGTGATCAAATTCAGGATTTATTTTAATTTTGGGATAGGTAATAGGACCTCTACATGCGTCTGGATGGATTTTGTTATAGCTTCAACGGGATCTGGAGAGTAGACCATGCCATGAAATATTGTATATTAGGTGCACGCATATAATGCGTGTGTTGTTTTGTATGTCAATCCATTGGAGAATTCCGCCCCCCCCCCCCTTACACGCCAAAGACGATAGTACTTTGTACTTTTACTTAAGTACGGTTTGCTCCAGTACTTTTTACACTTATTCAAGTCGTTTTATTGTTAATTACTTCTACTTTTACTCGAGTACAAATTCAAAGTAATTTAGGCACCACTGGGTATAGTGGACATACTGCGTTTACTTTTGTAAAGCAAAGATGCCTTTTTCGCCTCAGAAGGAAGACCATTCCACTATACTTAAAACTTCGTTTAAGATAGTTTGTTTTAAGTTTTGAAAGTGCTAGATCAGTATCATTACTTCGAAGATTATATTCTCTAATAAGATCTTTAATTTTTATAAATTTCTCTCTAAGACTTGGAGCGGACTGCTCATTAAGAATTTTGTACATGAAAACGCTCTTCACCCAATGACGTCTTACATCATATGCCCACCGACGAATAATCATACACCTGCTACAGTAATTGGCTAATCGCTTTCAGTGCGAATACCTTCCCATACCATAGGCTTAGTCGCTTTATAGAGATAGTCTATACTGTATTAATATCCATACAAGCGTCGAGTCTGCAAAAATTTTCATGATACATATACTTAAAACATAACATTTTGACACTAAATACATAACGCCGATTACCGCGCTGTCAGTGCATGTTTTCTTTGCATACACGGTAAATTTCAAGGAGTTGAATCAACTCCACCGAGTGTTATATTGTATGTATCACCAAAAACGATGACAGAATAACTATTTTAGAGTTGTTTCAACTCCTTGAAATTTACAGTGTAGACAACATGTTTCACAAATCTAAGGACTGTGAGGTTTCTCTGGCTCGCCGACTTGTCGATGCGATCCCTTGGTGTGCTGCGTGCAATTCATTCAGTACTTGCTTTCGTAGTGATTTTGGGATAACGACGCGATCTCCCCTAAACACGAGGCCCTCTTGTGTTGTTAGTTCGTCTCGTAGATGGAAGTACGGGTGATTGTTGGAGATAGATCTTTGGAGCTTTCGGGCCATCCTGACTGGATAAATGATTTGACTTGCTGTAGGTCTTGATCTTTCGTTGTGTGGTCTTGGAATATGGTTGTTGTTTCACAATTTAGTATTTCGTTGATTTCTTCCAAACTGTCCACTTGGTCGAGATCGCTGTCGACGCTCCGTGCTTCGTCGGTGCAGTTGTCTAAATGGTGACGACTGAGTGTGTCAGCTAGCAGCATCTCTGACCCTTTCTTATAAACGATGGTTAAGTCATATTGGTGTAATCTCATCATCATCTTTTGAAGACGTCTAGGTGCTGCTGACAGAGGTTTCTGATGAATGACTTCGAGCGGCTTGTGGTCTGATTCTACTGTGACTGGTCGGCCATATGTATACTGGTGAAAACGCTCGGTTCCATAGACTATAGCTAACAGTTCCTTTTCTATCTGAGCGTATTGTTTCTCCGCGTGCGTCAATGCTCGGCTGGCAAATGCGAAAGGCTTTCCCTCTTGAATGAGTGCTGCCCCCAGGCCGTGGTCGCTAGCGTCACACTGTATTATCAGCGGTTTGGTCGACTCGTAGTACTTGAGGACTGGCGGTTCTGTGATCAATTTCTTTAATTGGGTGAAAGCGGCGTCATGCGACTTGTCCAAATCGAAAGGCTGATTCTTTTTTGTGAGTTGTCGTAGTGGTTCAGATACTTGTGAGAGGTGGGGAAGGAACTTGGCAAGATAATTAACTGTTCCGAGGATTCTTCTGACTCCAGCCACGTCTGGGGGTTGCTTCATTTCTAGTATGGCTTGTACATTAGCAGGATCTGCTTGGACACCGTCAGAGGTAAGAATGTGGCCAATGTATGGCATTGAGGTCTTCTTCAACTCAATATTGTTTGGGTTAAGCTTGATGTGTTTAGCTCTGCAGCGGTCGAATAGTTCCTTGAGCTTTCTGTCATGGTTGGCTACAGCTTCTTGCATTGTCTCTCCATTTCCTATTACTAAAATGTCATCAGCAACAGTCCGTACACCATCCAAGTCATCAATTGCCTGGTCTAGTCGTTGCTGGAAAATCTCTCCTGCAGGGGAGATCCCGAAAGGCATCCGTTGCCATTTAAATCGTCCAAATGGAGTGTTAAACGTCGTTAAAAGAGACGACTCTTCGTCTAATTCTACTTGCCAGTATCCGTTGCTACAGTCGACTTTGGTAAAGACTTTTGCATTGGACAGTTCTGGAAGTACGTCGTCAATTGTCGGTATTGGATGGTGGCATCGTTTCAACGCTTTATTGAGTGGTCTGGGATCGAGGCATAATCTAATTTTGCCATTGGGTTTTGGTGCAACAACAATTGCGCTGACCCAGTCTGTTGGATAGTCTACTCGTTCTATGACCTCAAGCTTGACAAGTTCGTCCAAATGTTCTCGCAACGGTTGTTTCAGCGACTCAGGGATTTTTCTTGGTGGGAATTGGACAGGCGACATTTCAGGATCAACTTCAAGATGCAGTGGTGCCAAGATGGTGATGCAAAGATGCAAAGGTGTGATTTTCAAGATGCAAAGGTGCCAAGACCTTCAAAAACATCTTGGTATGTGTCCTTGACGTTTTGCATTGTCAGTCCCATTTGATCAGGCCGACTGAGGTCTTCATTAATTTGATCGACATGAACTGGGCTCCCAATTTGAATAAAATTCATTTGTTGCACGGTGCGGCAGCCAAGAAGGTTACTTTTTGCATTCTGGTCATCAACAACAGTGAATGGTACTTTGAACTTTTGCTTTGTAATTGGGTCTTGTACTTGTATTTTGCACTTTCCAAGGGGTGTGGGTGATGAATTGTTGTACATCTTTAGAACATGTGCCGTAGGTTTGATGCGCCGTTCATATTTAGTTCCTTTTAATTCACTCTTTTTTAGGACATTGCAGGTTGCCCCTGTATCGATTTGAAATTTGGTTGTGTTCCCCCTTTTATTTTCATGGTAGCAAAGATCCGTGATTTTTAAATGTTCGGTTGGTGTATTGTATTGGTGGTATCATTCTCGGTGGGGTCTAGTTCGACAGTCATAAGCGAGTCGCCTGAATCACTTGAGTCGTTTTCAGTTACTGCGTGAAGTGGCTTTTGGCGGGAATATCTTCCTTTCTGCAAACAAACTTTGGCGAAGTGATTTTCGCGACCACAATTCTGGCAGCGGCTTCCAAATGCAGGACATAATTCCTTTTTTCGTTGGTGCATTGTTCCACAATATTTGCATTTAATTTTGTTGTCACGCCCCCCGTCACGCCTATCAAGTCCGATACGCCTGTCATCCGTCTTCCGGTTCCTGTGCTTCCGGTTCCTGTGCTTCCGGTTTCGGTTTTGTTGTTTACAATGGCGTTGATTTCGCCCTCATTTGCTTCGCTGTTCGCCTGGATTTTCTTGACTTGTTTCTTCGTGGTCTCGCTACTGCGACAGATGTCGATGGCTTTTGTCAAGGCGATTTTGCAATAGCTTTTTTTGAGTTGCATTATCGTTGATTCCTATGACCAGGCGATCGCGTATCAAAGAATGTCGTAAACAATTACAGAAATTACAAGATTGTGCCAATGTTCGCAGTGCTGTTACGTATTGGTCGACTGTTTCGTTTTCATTCTTTTGTCTGCTGTTGAAAACGAATCTCTCATAGGTTTTGTTTGTTTCACCTAAGCATAAGTCTTAAAAAATTTGGTTACAACAATGTCATATTTCGTGCGGTCTTCTTCCGAGGCAAAATCTAAGCCCTAAAAAATTTCCATTGCGTCCTCGCCGATGCACGAAATGAACGTTGCTGTTTTGAATTCATCTTCAAATCGGTTAAGTCTTGCCACTATAGCATAGTTATCCCAAGATCGCTTGAATTTGTTCAAGTTTGAGGCAAGGTTTTCTTCAGTTTTTAATGGCTTAGGCATGGCCAAGCCCGCTGGCAATAATGGGTGACATGCCGAGGCTGTGTACGGCGTGTTTTCTGCTTCGCTACCGTTGGCTTCTTCTGTCATTTTCAATAATGTGAGCTGGCTTCTTTTAAACTCCTGACACCATGTTATTTGCTTCTCACTTTCATTAACTTTTGATAGTTTTATTTCTTATAGTATAATTCGCATAGTATAAACTCATAACATGTATATACTCTATCTCTAAAATCCCGTGTCCTACACCTATTTTCGCGCCCTTTTCCACCGTTCCCAGTTTTCCCTGTCCGAGCAAATATAACTAAAATATTAATGTCAACAGTAAATGTCCAACAACTGACAGGTAGAGAAATGAGAGAACTTAAACCGTAGATACTGTACCATGCATTAAACATAGTCTTAATAAACCTATTATTATTATTTTATGAGAATCTAGTTTTCCGTGAAATTGCTTTTTGAAGACACGTGAATCGTGAAACGGCTTTTTTTTTCGTTGTGAAACGTGATCCATACCCCCCTTTTCCACCTTCAACTGTGTACACCATTTCAACGACCGAATTCATCAAATTGTTAGATATTTAATTTAAATAACCCGGAAACATGTTGTTTGTGCAAAGAAACCTTGCCTGCAGCGTGCAAATCTTATTTGAAAAGCCGTTAAAAAATTGTATGTTTACACGCGCAAAAAGTGACGTATTTAGTGACAAAAGGTTATGTTTTGAAAGGTAAAATGGTAAATATCATGAAAAATTTGCTTTCAAATAACTCTTACGAGTCGTTTGGGAACACGCTGACTCGACTTAATTAAATACAAGTTATGGTGTCATATAACTGACAGGGTAATGTTATTTCATTTGTCACTATACTTTTGACAGTCACAGTTAACGAAAGGACTAGTTTAACTGATACTTGAAGCGTTTCTTCTCTTTACGACACTTCAAAGTTCTCGCCGATGTTAACTATCTATTGTGTAAGTGTCTAACTGTCTAATACGAACGAAATTCATGGTTTGAATCCTGATTATATTTCAGAATATCGCTTTTATAGAATACATTTTTGCGGAAAATGTTAGCGTTAAATTTTTCCGGAAAATGTTACATTATGGGTAATTACATAATGGGCGGGGAAGGAGGGGGTTTACATACACTAGTTTTACATAATGGGGGCTTAAATGTAGTTATTCATGCCATTTTTTACCTCAATTTTGCAGAAAATTCCTTAATATTTACCACGTTCCGCAATTCCAGCATTCCAGGGGCCCCTCTCCGCAAGTTGGGCCCCCTTTTTTACTATTATTTGCGGGTGTTACACCCCCCATACACCTCAGTAGTAATGTAGGTTAATTGAGGTTAATATTTGAGATATCAGTGTTGTTAATAGTATCAGAATATCGTAAACGTATGAATATCGTAAAAGTATGAGTATTTTATGACATAACACACGCCCTTCGTGGAAATCATAGTTGAAGGGACTAGTGTGTACAATTTTTAAATAAATATAGTTTTACCAAGCTACATACCTACCTCGTAAAAAAAACTATTCTAAAACTTTTTTTCCGCGTTTTACCCCCTTTTTCGCGTTTTACCCTCTTTTCCGCGTTTTACCCTCTTTTCCGCGTTTTACCCTCTTTTCCGCGTTTTACCCTCTTTTCGGCGTTTTACCCTCTTTTCCGTTTCCGTTTTTCCGGTTCCGCCATTCCGGTTCCGCCGGTCCGTTCCGTTTCCGCGTTTTATCCTACCCACTCAACAATACCCTATCTCTGAGGATTAGTATCTTTCACAGTTAAGCCTAGTTTCCATTCCGATGTAATAGAGTGTCAACAAAACTTTACAAAACTCTGCAATGATTAAGACTGATTTGCATACAACACACAAAGATTATTATGATATTAGACTATTTCACATCTACCGCTTGTCGTGCCAGCGACAACTAACGACCAAATGGAAACTAGGCTTAACTATTTCCCAAGTCAGTGATTTAACCACCCCGATAGCCAAAGTTATGATTGCAAATGTACGACTTCAAGTGTTGACTGATTCCGGCGCCAGCATTAATGTTATTGATGAAAAGGTTTATCACGCCATCACGAAGTCTCCGCAGAATAATCAGCTTTCATTACGTCATACCTCCACGAAAATGTACAGTTACTGCGGTACTTCACCTTTACCTGTTATTGGAACATTCTCCACTCGCGTTGAATCGAAAACACGCACAACTCTCGCTACTATCTAGTATCTACGTTATTAAGGGCGAAAATGGTTGCCTTTTAAGCTACAAAACTGCAACTGAATTTGACCTTATATCTTGTCATCGCTCAAACCAACGCATCTGTCAATACTACCACACCGCTTTCCACACTTATTCAAGTTCATCTACATATTGATCCCTCTGTACCACCCGTGACGCAACCTCATCGGAGAATTCCGTTCCACCTTCGCAAAAAGCTCGATACCGAACTTGACAAACTTGAACGCCAGGGTATTATCGAACCGGTTTATGGCCCAACTCCTGGGGGGTTGCCCCCTCTCATTGTCACAGCAAAACCGAAGAACCCTGATGAAATTCGCCTCTGTATAGATATGCGCCAACCCAATCGTGCGATCCTTCGTGAACGTCACACTATTAGCCGATAAGTCCAAAAGAACCAACGAGCTTAACGCAAAGAAACTACGCAAGCTAGAAGATTCAAACCGTCGTCTACAAGAGAGCGTCATTGATCCCAAAGCACGATTCATGCGGGATAACTTGCTTTTCTTTAATGTCAACGAAGACGAGAGAGAAAACACGACGGAGAAGATTTACAAGATCTTAGAAAGAAATTTAGAGATCCCCAATGCTAAAACTAAAAATCGATCGTTCTCACCGAATCGGAAGGAAGCGCGAGGGCCAATGCAAGCCTAGAGCAATAGTTCTCAAATATAACTTTCACCAAGATTGAGAGCGAATACGATTAAGCGCTAGAAAGCTCAGGGGAACGCGTATTGGAATCGTGGAGCAGTTTCCCGAAGAAATTGAGAAGATTCGCCAAACCTTATACCCTGAGTTAAAGAAGGCTAAAGCGGAAGGACATAGAGTGCGTTTGGTACGGGATAAATTATACATAAACAATGTTCAGTTCAAACCTTCAACTCATAATTAACATTACCATCTTTTCCTATTTTAATATATACAAATAAGACGCTATGGCTATTCTAAAATTAGGTAAGAAATATTGTTCTTCTTGTTTCCTTAAAATAAGTATGGATCAAAAAAGCATTCATTGTCTGACATTCAGGGGATGGTTTCATGCTAGCACCTCATGCATAAAATCACCTGTCACATGTCAACAAACGGAAATTGATATATGCAACATGTGCTTAAGCTGTTCGCTTCCTTTTCACTCAATTGATGATTTAGAATTCCATTTTATTTTTGGCGATTTCAGTCGAGTTCCAAGTGATGAGGTTATGGATAGACTAACGCAACTCAAGTTTAATCCTATTCACATTAATAATAACATTGCAAACGCTTAACACTTTGAGAATTATATGCCGGAAAATCTAGATGATTTGACATGCAATTATTACCTAGCTACCAAACGACTTTGCTATGACTAATAGTAATATTACTGATAACAAAAATCTATCCGTACTAAACCTTAAGTATAGCTTATAAGTTTGACTCGTTTAGGAATCTTCTAAGTACTTTATAAAACAACCTTTTTCTATAATTAGCCAAACTGAAACTTGGCTAAATGAGCAAGAAAGTGGAAATTTGCATCTTACAAATTTTGATTTCGTTTGCTCAAACAGAGCTAATAAAAAGGGCGGTGGAGGAGGAATTTTTATCTCAAATAATTTAAACTACAAACTGACCTAAATATAAACGAAGACGGAAGAGTTGAATCATTTTTCATTGAAATTATTTCAACAACTGGTAACAATATTATTGTTGGTACTATCTACAGACCGCCAAGTTGTAATTTTGAAATGTTTGAAAATATACCAAATGCAATACTAACTGAAGTTGACAAAACAGGGAAAATAACATATGTGACAGGGGATTTTAACATTGATTTTTTGAAATCTGATGATTGCGACCATTCCAATAGATTTTGTGAGCAACTTTTTATTTCATCTTTTTATCCGCTGATAAATAGACCAACTAGAATTACGCAGCATACAGCCACGTTAATTGATAATATCTTTACAAACAATGCTGAACAAATAGAATCTGGTGTAAATGGACTGATTTTCTCAAATATTTCAGATCATATCCCTGTATTTCATATAGTTTTTTCATCCACAAATGAAAATAATACAAAAAGAGGAAATGCACATTACAGAAGATGGTCAACAAAGATAATCTTGCTTCGTTTTTATTATCTGTGAAAAATATATCGTGCGAAAGTATTTTCGAAACCAATGACCCTTCTGAATACCATACAAATTTTCACAATAATTTGAAGGTAGCAATTGATAAATGTTTTCCTTAGCAAAAATAAAAAACAATTCTGTTGATCCCACAAAAAGTCCCTGGATGACAATTGGTATATTTAAATCTATATCCAAGAAAATTAAACTTTATAAAAATTTTCTAAAAAAGCCATCTTATAGAAATGAGACAGCCTATAAAAAACATAAAAACAAACTGAATCACGTAATATAAACCGCAAAAAATGCTTATTATGAAACACAATTTCTTAAGTATAAAAATGATATTAAAAAGACATGGCAAACTATCAACGAAGTTCTTAACAGAAATAAAACCAGATCAAAACTACCTGATACTTTTTTACAGAAGAATTCAAATATTAATGTTTCAAATCCTCTGGAAATCGCAACTTGGTCCACAACTAGCCAAAAATTTCCAAAAAATGATAATATATCATATGAAAGCTACTTTAATGGCAACTATGTTGAAAGTATGTTTATTGAACCTGTCAATATGAGTAGTAAAAGACCCCCATATGGAGAGCAAAGGGATGCCGCCAATGATATCACTTTGCTCCGGAAGTAATTAGTATGCAAAAACCTATGCCGTCACTAACGCGACCAAGCACAATAAGGCGGGCAAGCCTGGGTCAAATGTGACAGGTAGCGTCACAAAATGTCCGAAACAGTCATTAAGCAGAGCTTGGAATTTTCAGTACATAAGACAAGGCTTGCTATATATGTGTATAACTTCGTTTGAGAATCATTTCGCTGTGAAAGCCATACGATGGAGTGTCTGCATGGAAAAACCGTATCTTACAATTTATTGGAAGGAATATATGCGAATGCAGTTGCACTAGTAGCTAGTGTGGCGGATATGTGCATGGATGTTTCCGAAGAGGGTTAATAGCACCAAATTGTGCATAGTAGCATCTTTTTATGAGTAGAACAACATGCAAAAGTGGGGCCATGGTGAAACTGGGTTTTTTTTAGAGAGCTACGATGCTCTTAGCATTATTTGCTATTAAATTCTACTACAACAAAAAGTATGAAATTTTGAATTCAATCGCGACAAATATAACTTGCATCGTCAGAAAGCTTTTAAAAAACTACATAAAAGACTTTTAAACAGTTTTTTTATTCTTCCAATGGTTATTGCTGTAAATTAGGCATATTATCTCGTAGACTTGCCCAGGTCGCTCGCTAGGGACCGCGCGTAGCAAGAAGGAAGCGCTTGAGAAAGACGGAAGCGAGCGACTTGTGTCACTTGCCTGATTTTGAATCTTAATGAAAAATTTGGCGCGAAAATCAATTATGAAATAGTGGCCGTTCACCATGTCAATTTCAGTAGTTCATTATTGTTTTGTTCATGCGACTTTCCATATATTCACAATGGATGGCGAGTGCACAACACCCACAAAACGTTTTACGAGAGTAGATATTTCACCAAATTCCAAGGAGAAAATTTGCATTCAATGCGGGGAAGAAATAACGGACTCTAATAAACGCAGGAAACTCTTTAACCAGTCGATAAAAACAGTAGCTTGCGAAAGCTTGGAAAGAATTGTTGAAAGAGAATTTGATACGGAGAATTGTTTGCGGTCTTATATTATAGAATACCAAATTGCTACATAAGCTTGACTTGGTTCGTGATTTTTTTCACACTGTTGAGTCAACTTTGATTGACAAGAAAGGGAATTGGTAACCAAAAGGCAAAACAGTAACGATAAACAACAAGACTCTCCCAGTGTAAACATAGGAAACAAGCCAGTTAAAAGGCGTGTTGTTTTTTCGACAACGGAACCTGTTACAGGCAAGCAAAAACCAAGAAACTCAAACAGAAAGCATTCAAGTCAATTCTGAAATATCGGCCGTCACGGTAAGTTGCAACGTTTATCGGTATCCGAATTATCGACAACATAAAGTCAATATTTTCACACGATTTTGACGAGTTGTATCAACATTTAGTGCTATTAAAGGCATGCCTGATGAGTAATTTATAAAGACAACATAATCCGTCCATTTATCTTATTACAATTTAGGATAAACAACAATTAAGGAAGTTACAATGTAAATTAAAAAATTGTTGCTATATTATCAATTGATATTCTCTATAAAGATTTAACACAATATTAATTTTTATAACAATCGGGGTGTTTATTGAGAAATGTTTTGCTGGCGCTTTGTTTATATTTTATATAATTTTTGGGCGGACTTTTTGACTTGAAACTGCAACTGTTTTTCCCTTCGCTTTATAGGTCATAATTAGTTACCCAAAATAGCCAAGAAAAGAGGGTTGTTCTTCCAGAAAAATATCTTCGGTTAGCGAGACAGTTGGCATTAGGAAATCATAAATCAATTGCCTCTGCTGTTTTTTCTGTTGATGATATAGCGGACGAATTAATGGCTATAGCCGCTCGTCGTGTTAATAACGAAATAATAAATTTATGTGCCACTTCCAACCCATCATTTCTGCGCAAAACGTCCAAAGAAGATCTCGTTAAATTTTCTTGGGAGAATATTCATAAAGAATTGAAAGAAAGAGCGACGATGTTCATGCGCTTTATTGAACCGTCGGTCCAGAACTCTTCCCAGGCAAAAAATGTAAACAAAAAGGACGAAAACCTCATACCACCTATGTGTGACGCTTTATATCCATTTTATTTTTTAGCTTGAGATTTTTACAGTAATTTTCGACGATTCGCGTCTGTTTATATTAACTATAAATTTTACAAAATGGCGTCGTTAGTACAGAATAATAATGAGCATTCACCAACGTCACCGGAGCAAAAATGCACCGGTGAATTTGGCGCGCTTGCGGATGACAAAAAGTCCGTTGCTTCCAGGAACCACGAACCGCAGACTTTGGAAAGTCTAATTATCTCGCTAAAAGTCCCTAATTAATTATTCGATGTTTGAAAATGTGTTTTTAACAGTATATAATTGAAAACTATTTCAGAAATCAAAAAACTGTTTAAACGTCTTATATGCAGTTTTTTATAAGCTTTCTGACGATGCAAGTCATATTTGTTGTAATTGAATACAAAATTTCACATTTTTTAGCTATAATAGAATTCAACAGAAGAAAATCAATAATCACCCATTTTCAGGAGTTAGCAGCAAAATAGCGATGGCCCCACTTCAAATATCTATTAAGCAAATAAAACTGCATCAATTGTAAAAGTTTGATGCTTTTAACCTCAACGGGAACTACTGATCAATAATTTTACACATATCCGCCTCACTATAGAAGTTGAAAGACTTTGTGTGGAATCTACCCTGGAACCAAAGGGTATTTATTTTCGCCTGTTTTGAATAACCCTCTGGTGAAATTGGCGTAGTTTTCGGGTTCACATTCCACACATAACTTTCGAAAATGGAAGGAAAGAGTTGATTGGCTGCTGACTATAGGTTCGATAGACTACGTGTTCTGATTGGATATTGTAAACATCATAGCCTGTTCGCAGGCGTTTCGTGTTTTGATTGAAA